TATATCAAAGTTATAAAAAACTTCATCAGCTCTAACTCAAAATATGGAAATTTTATTTTAAGAAGGGTCGAGGGTATACAATTGAAATTACAGTTTTCTCTAATAATTTGTTGAATGAAACCTCTTTACATATGGATGAAAAAATGCAATAAAAATAGATGGTCACCAACCATCTAAGCAAGTTACTGACTGCTAAAAAAGTAATTTGTACAAAGACTAGTAGGGAAAATTGCACCTGCATTACCTTTAAACCTAAGAGAACTAAATTACAGATTTTCATTAAACTTTCTATTCCAAGAGAATTAAGTAAAGTTAAGAGAGACCCCCCCCCCAAAAAAAAAAGAGGGGTCAATGACCTTCTAAGACAGATAAATCGCTAAAAGTGTGAAACCATGGCAACATAAAAAGGTTATTATATAATAATTTTGATAAAAATGCACCTTTTTCTCCCATTTTTAGCCAAAACTATATAAAATGAAAACCTAATTTTGGATTACAACACCCGTTAGTGATATGCAGGCCCAATAATAGTGATATTGAAGGTTTAGATTTGTATGTAGTCTGTGCCTGTCCAGAGTCAGGAGCCTGTAATTCAGTGGTTGTCTTTTGTTGCTGCATATCATATTTATTTTTCGTTTATTGTTTTGTACATAAATCAGGTCGTTAGTTTTCTTGTTTGATATGTGTTATTGCCTAAAATGACCCAAAATGATTTTCAGTCATACATGACCCAAGACTATTTTATACACATATGGCATGATACTTGTAATTTTGTTTTACATTTAAGGTACATTAAATATATTTATGTCTAATGTGATCAGCGTAATAGATGTACATCAAAGCTGGGGATACAGAATACAGAAACCACCCTATGACTTACTATCTGAGTGCATGAACACTTATGGACACACCTTGCTCGGTTTTTTGGAGGCAAATTAGTAACAAGGAGAGAGATTCCAATCAAAATGTAATTTATTAAAAACGACGATCAATATTATATACAAAACAGGGGAGATAATCTTACAAAGGGTAACATTTAAATGCCCCTTATTTAACTCTCCTGATAAAAAGCCAGCCTACAAAAAAGGTTGCGTACAAAAAAGGCCGTTTACAAAAGGTGGCGTATCAATAAAAGGCCACTTACAAAAAGGTGGCGTATTATAAAAAAGCCACTTACAAAAGTAGCATATCATAAAAAGCCATTAACAACATAATGGCAAAAATCATGGAAATTAAAATCACAAAATTCACATCATATTTAAATGTACAAGGTAGCAAGTTATTGGGGTAGGGGGTGGGATCAAAAATTGTCCAGATTAAATTTGCGACCTTTCTTGTCGCAGATAAATATTTACCTCAGAATATATCTGTTATCTGATTGGTTGGTTAAAATAGATTAAATAATTATGCAATTTACACTCAGTTCAAATTGACTGTTTAAATCAAATAGAAGTTGTCCACATAGACATACATGAATTTATAATATAAATTAGATTGTGGAAGTATTGTTTAAACTGAAAAACCCTAAAAATTTTAAATTGGTAGAAAAAATTACATTTTCATGTAAAGCCACCTTCATTCAAAATCTCTATTTCCGGGGACAGAATTTGAATAATTGTAATATTGCAACATAGATTGTATTGTCATGAAACATTGTCAACTCTTTTATGATTCCTTAAGTTTAGGTCATGCCAAGTTTAAATATTTTTTTTTTCTTTTCAGTTCGAAAACACATTTTTTTTTTTTTTGAAGCAGAGGCAAATTTAGGAAGGGGCAACCCTTATGGAGCTACATACTATGTATAAGGTTAATGCATAGACTTTTTATATGTCCCATTCTTAATACTGCATAGTTTGGCCGCCCCTTATTTCAAAACCCTAGATCCGCATCTGTCTAGTGCATTTCTTTAAGACAATAAATGAAAATAAAAAAGTTACACTTGCATTTTCTCAATAAGATTTTTACAGTGCTCTATTTTTAGAAAAACTATATCAAAATCATAGAATTGTCTACCAGCTCTAACTCAAAATATGTACAATATTACAGTGTATGTTAAGGAGGTCTATAATTCAGTTTGACAGTTCCATACATACTAATTTTTGCCTTTTTCAACTGGACCAAATCACCTTTTTACCTCAAAATGCATGACCGAAATTTTGTTTACGTGTAATTTCATCCCTCTAATTACTATTTTATGCATAAAATACAAAAGAAGTAAACAAGGAAAGAGTATGAAAATAATTTGTAAGTTAGACACTCCGATATCATCCACACTAGGGACTATATTTGTAGACACTGAAAACCACGAAAACTAAAAGATGATTTCTGTGTACAAGGCCCAATTGTCACACATTTCAGTCGACATGTCATTAAAAAAATGGTATCTTTGATTAACACAGTGATTTAGAGTTATTTTGATCATACTTTAAACTAGGGCTCTCTCTAGGGTGAGTCCGTGAGTCCTGGACTCATGAAAATATGTCTGGACTCGTCATTTTCAATACTGATGAGTCCTAAGATGCATCAAGATTGTAAATTAAATGTTGTATCACTGAGCAGAAATACATGTAAATATATATTATCTACATTTCATGATGTCATTTCCCCGATTTCTTTGGTCATTTGGACTGAAATAATAAATTATATAGCAATCTTCTTGCTTTTGGACTCATGGCAAAAAATGATGAGTACCTGGACTCGACTTCAAAAATCCTAAGTGATCTTTCAAAATAGAAAATTATTTTGTATACCATACTGTTTGCGTTTGCTTAATTGCAAAATAAAAGGACCCTATATTATGCAGATCCATGGTATGAAGGCTTTTAAATGTAGAAATAGGAAAAGATCACAAACGTTCACTTCCCATATGTTTATGAAGTCTGTATAATGGCCTGGTTACCTACATATTTTCTTTGTTGTTTCATGGTTCAATTGGCTGTTTTAATGTCTAATTATAGTCCATTCAATTATATCTACACGTATACATCAAATTAGTTAAATAACAAGAATAACCTTTTAAATTTTGCCACTATGGTAATAATAATTATAGAACTATTTGTTAATACCAACTGATAAAGCATAGCCTAATTTGAATTAATCTTCATTGTAGAATTTAAAATTTTGTTCATGAAAAGTGCACTGTTCAAGTAAAACACATACTGGTATAACTTTATTAATTCCAACATTTGACATACAATTTTGCAAAGAGAACACAATTTGAATCCAATATTAGTTAATTTGTTTTTAAAGATATAGTTTAATATGAAACTTCACCCTATCATTTATTTCAATATTCAACAAAGCTTTATATGTGCAAAGTTTTACAAGGACAATCTACAGGGGCAGATCCCAAGTTTTTGAAAAGAGGGGGATTGGGTCATGAATTATGGTGTCTGATATAAAGAACACACCTGTCAGGCTGGACTCTTAAGGGCCGCATGTAAATGGTGATATAGACAACACATATGAACTCTAAGGTCTGCAAATCATTTGTCAAAACATTTATTACATGTACATTTAACTATGTCTATGGTTTTAATTCAGGCTCAGGAGCGTTACTGTTTTTTCTTTTTTTTTTCTTTTTTTTTTACGAATTTAGCTGAATATCATTATCAATATCAGAATAAGCGCGAAAATCGGTTGGCAGATTCTTCACCAATAAACTCATTATATATTTCAGGATTAAAATTGTGTATGCCAGACGCGCGTTTCGTCTACAAAAGACTCATCAGTGACGCTCTAATAAGAGCACGAAGTTAAGGCAATAAGGCGCTTGTCGTGTTTCTTCTAGTTCGTACTACTTCAGCGGTTAGTATCTCCTCTGTTTTCAAAAACAGTTAATAACCAATGCTTATCCTGATTTGTCCGCCACGGTTACTAAGCGATTACTTTGAAAGTCTTTGTGATAAACAAACTACCTTCTGCAGCATTGTAACACACAATTGTGTTTCAATTCCACCTTTTATCTAAAGAAAAAAACAATATTAGAATAATTGTGTTATAGCATAAATTAAATCAAATGTTTCCCTTTAACTGTGTGGGTAAAGCTCTCCCCGTTCCGGATATATTATCATATTAAGTTCCCATAACTAGCATGTTAAGAACAGATCACCTTCATTTATGATGAGTGTGTCTTTATTTCTTGCAAGGATCCTGAACATTATACTTTTCGTTACTACAATCTCGCTCTCTATCACTTTTAACGAATTATCATCGATCTTTTACACGCTTCCGGCGAAAGTAAGCTAACTTTAACCAATGTCTATGTTGAATTAACTGGTTTAAGCCTTGTTCACCATTTGTCCTTGAAAACCATGGGAGAACTGTTTTCATTTTACTTTCGGTCAAGTTTTGATTTATATCATACTGACTTGAGAAACACGACAGGGGCAAAATGTGAAGAAGAAACTGCTTATTCTTCAAGAAAACCTGTTTTTTATCCTAGTTTTTGGCTGAGTTCCTGTTGTTCAGTCCTTGGTTATCTTTTTAATATTTTGTTGTTGTTGTTTGTTATCTGTTGTTTCGTCGTTTTTATTTTTTTTGCCATGACGTTGTCATTTTTTTACGTATGATTGTGCCCTGATTATCTTCTCCCTATCATATTTTTTTGGTCAATCAAAAACTAGTTTCAGTTCTACTAATAACAAACTTCAAAAGTCTACATCAGTATTCCTATTTATGAATTCGTGTTGTTTCATATTGAGTGTTGCTCTGACCAGCAAACAAGTCGTGGAAGTAAGAATTAAGCGTGGTGTCGTCGGCAATGTTGATGTCAAAAGTTGGTTCTAAAAGATTGTGATTAGGCCAGTTTATGTCAGTTTAAGTGGAAAAACAATGATAGATACAGGACTTTTGGAAATCATTTGTGTAAGCCTTGGCACATTTAATTTCCACGGAGCTCAATCATGGTCTATTGACTTTAAATATAACGCATAGCTGTAATACAAATGACACTGAATAACTTGATTTTCATCTAATTCGTATATATTTTATTAATTTAGATATTTTAGGTAATGATGATTAAATGCCAGATGTGGAAGATAAAAATCGGTTGGATACTCGTTGTTTTCCAAGTTAGTATTAATATATTGAGTATTTATTCTTGAATATTCTTCTTCTAAATCATACATAGGAATGTATTGATGTTTTGGCGTTGCCAATGGTTTTTTAAATTTGCTTTAGAGGAAAAGTCCCCGCAGATACATGTAATTTTTATGGCAGAGTACACATAATAATTTCAATATTCTTTGATGGCAATGTTGTCCAGTTAACATGAAGTGGCTGTCATTTTCTAGTATATATGTAAACAAATAAAACAAAGTTATGGTAAGGATTTCTTCTGAACAACCGAAATGCATATGTAATATGATCAATTTAAAAGGAAAAAATAACGGAGGAAGCTGCCAAAGGGTGTTCACTGATACTCGTAAATGCATTTAGATATGCCAACAAAAGAAAAAAAATATGATCAAATGAATGCAAGAGGAGGGAAACTGACGGCGCCAACAAGTTATGAATGTGACCACAGAAACAGAGAAAACAAAGGATGTTTATTTAAATCTTAGTTTAGTATAAGAAATAAATTTGGTGATGAACTAGTTTAAAAACCCACTTCTCTTTTATTTGTTCAATTAAAATATGTTCACATTAAACAAAGATAAAACCACAATTGATTAAGTTGAGAATACATATACGTGTATATTTTAAATATTAATGGTAATTCATCTTCGCTTTCCTAATCTAAATGTTCCTACACTTTCAGATCTATATGCTATCTGTTAAAACATACAACTTGAAATGTCCTTTGCAAGCCAACTGGAAACTTCGAGCACAAGTAAAGTGTAACAGCACGTTGAAATACTTTTGCTTGTACAACAATGTGGCAGAGAAATATGTTGAAGGATGTAATGGCCCAGACTGGGATAGAAAAGGTAGTAACTACTTTATTTGTGGTCATGTGTTTGGGACATAAACTACCCCTTTGTTTGACTATTTCATCGGCTGAATAGGCTCTACTTGATCTTTTGGCACTTGACTAAAATATTGGTTTTTGCCAAGTTTAAGTATATTTTCAATTTCACATAGCATTAACCAATAAAATTGAGAATGGAAATGGGGAATGTGTCATAGAGACAACAACCCGACCAAAGAGCAAACAACAGCCGAAGGCCACCAATGGGTCTTCAATGCAGCGAGAAACTCCCGCACCCGGAGGCGTCCTTCAGCTGGCCCCTAAACAAATATGTATACTAGTTCAGTGATAATGGACGTCATACTAACTGTAATAAACATGTTCTCAATCAATTGAACTAGAATGTGGGGACCTTTTCGTCAAAGTTCCCAAGAACATTCTCCCAAAAGCTCCCGTTTATTTATTGACATGTTCATTTGAATCAAACCGGGCGATTTATTTACCTACCAAACATTAAGATTATTAAACAGTACCATGTCTGGAACTTTTCAAACACAACGAGTCTTCTGTTATAAATAGTTCTTGTTTATAGATGGCGCACCAGTTTGATGACAGATAGTCTATTACGGTATTCTAGTTCTCCATGCTGAAACGAATATAAGCTAGCGTAACAGGTGTAGCAGCCTAATATTTATGTCAACAATATATATTCTTTAAACTTATGTCAATTCTCTTTTTTGCGCCACCAAGCCATGCAAATTAAAGACCCATTGGTGTCCTTGGTCTATGTTCTGCTCTTTAGTCGGGTTGTTGTCTCTTTGACAAGTTCGCCATTTCCATTCTGTATTTTACATAAAGCATAAATATAAATATATACATATTACTATAAGTTAATATTATTCATTATCCATAAACATACGATCAACTAAAAAAAACTGCTGCCAGACAAACTAATTTGCAAATTTTAAATGCTTCAACAAACCCCTATAGTACATGCATTACTCATTCATGATGATCGCAGTTATCATTAACTGCATATACTCGTCAAAGCTGCATTTCGGGTATGAGCCATCCAATCATAATTAACAGAAACAAAAATATGCCCTGAGTATAAACATTATCACGTGTTTATAGTAAACACTACTTGACTGATACAACGTCGTCCTAAAAAAGACACAGCTTTGTGTTTTAGCATGCAAATACTAATTATAATATCAATCAGTATGAGATCATCTAAAGTTTCTAAGTAATAGTTCTAATGTATATGAAACCAGTTGAAAATGAGCATGTATTTTTATAACTAACAATCGATTGAAAATATATGAAGGCTCTTTATTAAAAGTCTAAGATGACATCAACAAAATAAAGTTGTCTGATATAAAGACCCTACAAAACACATTCATAAAAGATTATTAATACTAAGTGCAAAGTAAAATAACTCTGACATGTCTATAAACAAGTGTATTTGCACTGTATAACATTCCAAGTATAATGCTATTGTCATTCTCATTTACATCTATGTTTTTTGCCTCAAAGACTCAACTTAAACTTGTGTCTTACATGTAATAGTTCATGAATCTCATAAACTTAATTGCGATAATTATGTTGTTCCAATGTAAAAATATACTTCTACGTGAATGCATAATGAAATAAAAACAGTAAAGCATTAAAATATCTACATGCATCAATAAAGCAAAGTGTAAAAAGCAAAAACAAGCAGATTGCTAACAAAATTATAAAACTACATGACACAGCTCTTTGCTTACCTCAAGTGCTAATTTGAAGGTCATAAGACTATATGCTTATATGTTTATCGATAACATCATATGGTTACATCATCAAAAATTAACCCGTAAATATGCATTTATAACTAATGTGTTCAGTGTTTAAAATATGACCTCATATAAAAAATACATAATAAACATAACAAAATATGTTTCCTTTAATGGTAAAATAATAAAAGTTTTAAAATGAATACTTAACCATCTAATTACTACTTATTTATACACAAGAAACTCTTTCTTTCTGTTTAAAATCATATCACTCCCTTAAAAGTTATTGCTTAAGACTATTTAATATCTTAATTATGTATTAAACTATAATGACTTTAACGCAATTGATGGTTATTCGAATTTGTACGACTTTGCTCTCCCTAGCAGAGCTATAGAAAAAACAGTACATTAACGGGTGTTACACAGACACTTTTATGAATAGAATAACTCGTGCATGATCAGTGAGTTCATGTGCACTTTAAATTTAACTTTTTGTTTCACAGACATATTTCCTGTCTTTTTTATTAAAATACTTACGTTTGCATCAATAACTATATTATAACAATGTCTAAGAATTTAAAAAAGTGTCAGTATGTTTTCACAAATGTGTCTCTGAAGCTCAACAACTGTTTAATTTTTTAAGAAGGTTTTCAGTGTTGTTTCTAAACAATGCAGCAATTTTGAAGAGTTATAGAAGTTTTAACCAACTAGTGGCCAAATGGTCTATCTAGTCAAAATACTGTATCACTAGCCTGTCGAATGCAGGACATGGCAGGTGCGCTCGAAGGTTGTTGGTTCTCTCCGGCACACTGGCTTCCTCCACCAATAAAAACTTATCGCCATGAAATAGTACAATAGTGCTGAAAGTGGCGCCAAACAACAATCAACAAATCAATAAATAAACCAAGCAATTTTCTTGTTTTATTATAGGAAGTAAGCGAATATATGCCGGAGATTTTAGCAGAGGTGAATGTATACGGAAGCGTTTCCAGCCATTTATATTTTGGACCAATGGTAGTGTAAGTGATTGTATCTATGCTAAATCAATCTGCAGTGCAGAAGGACAAGTTGTTTACAACGACAATTCAACAAAAGATGACAGAGCATGCCGATGTGATTACGAAAAGAACTATATATTTATAAAAACTCCAAGAAATTTCTGTTTTTGTATACCAACAGAAGAAGACTGTTCCTGTTACATCAAATCATGTCCTATAAACTATACCCTTTCAGCAGGTATCTTACTTTTATTTTGTTTATTAGTTAAATTGCATGTACATTTTTGCTATTGTGTATTTTTTTATGAAACACTTCTAACCAACAATTTTCAAGAGTCAATATAGATCTGAGGAAATGTATATATAACCTGTATAACGCGTGAACATGTGTAATTAGTTTTAGTGGAAATAAAGAGATTTCCTTACTTAAATTGTATATTCAACATCGTTCACAAATTGACAACAAATATTGCGTAAGTTACATGTATTGACAGTAGTGATTTTGTGAAAACACTTTGTTTTGCACAAGGGGAGAGGAAAGGGGTAGCCTCTGAAGCATAAATGATTGGGTGAAAATGTGCATCTGGGATTTAAAAAAAAACATGTTTTGAAGTTGAAAGAAAATATCGACTTATATACATGAATGTCGAACCATTCATATATTTCTGACTCCGAACTGCAACCACTGATTTTGAAGTTCTCTCTGTATTTTTCTTTACACATGTAGGTTGTTTGATCAATTGAGTATTGCTTACAGATGTTTAATAACAGAGAGGCGAAAAATACCAAAGGGACATTCAGACATATAAATCGAAAACAAACTGACAATGCCATGGAAAAAAAAACGACCAAACCAGTATACAAAACACAACATAGAAAACTTAAAAATGAGCGCAACACAGACACCATTAAAAAACCGGGCAATCTCGGGTGCTATTGAAGAGTAAGTATACTGCTCCACATGAAGTATCCGTAAGGATGCTTATGTTAGTACACACCCAGAAGTAAGTCTTATTCGGTAAGTCACATTCGAGGAAAAGATCATCTATTTCTAGCTAAAAACAATTTAAACTCGGCAGGAAACTAAGAAGGCTTTTGGAGTCAATATATTGTGAATATACCTTTATCCATCGTTGAAGACCGTACGTTGAGATCCAGATATGTTTTGATTTGTTCATTGATTGCATGGCAAGCATTTCTTAATTCGATATTTTCTTTCAATTTCAATATATGAATTAAATGTTTTGTTATTAAATCCCAGATGCACACCTGTACCCACCATTTATGATAACCGTCATACAAGTGGGAGATTCAATTAGCCATAAAACAATATTTAAACCACCATTGTCCTCGAAATATGCCTGTAACATGTCAGGAATATGACAGTTTTCTTTTCACTTGTTCTGTTGCTTCATAGGTTCTTTTTTTGTCAATTTTTATTGACTTCCATGTTTTGATTTGATTAGAGTTCTGTATAATTGTTTTATTTTTCCTGTTTCGCCAAATTCGCGTTTCTTCTACCTAAGATTCATCAGTGGCACTCAAATCAAAACAGTTTGAACAACTTATTAAATATGAAATGTAAGACCATTGAAATTCAAAAGTTTGAAAAATGTTCCAAAAAAATGTATTTTTCTTATGCAATTTATTTGTTGATATTCATATTCCTTTATGTTAGAGTTACGTGGGTTTATTGTACCGATTTTTTGTGGTATGCATGCTCAAGTAATCTATCAATTGAAATTAAATGGATATTAAAACGAATAACCGATAGTGCAAAAGATTTCTGTAAGTATGTTTCAATGCTTTCGTTATTTCAGATTATAAATGCACCATAACTGATTTCCAGGAAGTAACACAGTGTAAACATATAACCAGGTAAGACTTTAAACTATTTCATTGAAAAATTCGTTTAACACTGTGTTGTACTTGAGGCTCATGTGTCACCCTCAATTGACAGTTTTACCTGAACTTATTATCATATTTATATAAAACCTATGTTGTCCTTTTTCAGTGAATAGTTTGATAACTACAGAGTCAGTTAATCCAAAGGTTGTTATTTTTCTTTGTTTGTTTATCTCCAGCTATCTATTAAAAATCAGCTGATGTGGTATGAATGCCAATGAGACAACAATCCACCAGTGTTCCATGAAATGGATGTAGTCAATTACTGGCAACTTACTGCTTTCCATTATAAACATGATATATGGTCGGTGCAAAAAGGCCCCGACAGGAAAACATGAAACAATTCAATTAGAAAACTATCGGCCTAACAAAACAATTTACAAAAAACAAATATGACAGACATGAACCAACAAAAACCATTGCACTACAGGCTCCTGACTTGCGACAGGCACATATAGAATGTGGTGGGTCAAAACTAGTTTGCTGGTGCCAAACTCTCTTTCTAACCTGGGACAGTGGTGTAACAGTACAACATAAGAACAAACTTAACAAATCAGGTAAAAGGGCTTAGCTCATCAGATCGATAAAAGGCAAAAATCATCTACCAGAAAACACAGACCGGACGTGGCAGCGTTACTATACATACTACGACGAAAAAGACATTTAGTAAAGATCTGTGAGTACTCGCAGATACTGACCGCTAGTTCAAAGCCAATAACAACTAATAACTAATCATGTATCTAAGACTAAATTATCAATCAGTCCACATCCTACATCCTATGTATTAAGTGTAAAGACGTCATAAACAGTCAGAGAAAAACATGATCTTGTGCAATGTCTAAATATAGATATCGACAGATAGTAGTACAGTGAATGTGCATATGTGCATGACAATACTATCAAGTATAGTTTTGATTTTTACTGATAGCAAAATTAATATTTTGGCATTGCATTAGGTCATGTTATTCTCTGACTGGTAATGACGTCTTAAAACTAAATACATAGGATGTAGGATGTTTTGACGTTTGTAATGACGTTTAGGTATACAGTTTTAACAGTAAAATAAGCACAATAAGTATACGGCTATGAAATGAGAAAAGACGTAATGGTTTTATTCATTACTAGTAATTGTTTTAAAGCAGACTTTTAGGGAAATCGGATGTCACTGTCTTGAATAAGAAGTCCAATGTATTGATAACATATTATATTACAAACGTTCAAATATAATATGACGAACATGAAAAATTATAACATATATTATTAAGAATTCTCTGTTGTTATATTCTGAAAAATAAGATATAGTTATTGAAAAAACAGTTAAAATTCGTAAGAAAGTAAATAACACAAAACCGAAAATAATGAAGCTAAATATAATGTGTACCAATATTAAATACAATCAACTTGCCAGTGAAGTACGTCACTGTTAAACAAATAAGGTTTAAGCATAAACATATATGTGTATGTGAATTCAAACCTTTTGTAGCTATAACATAACCTTAGATGAAAAAACAGGAGACAGCAACGGAAATATCCATCTGATTAACAGTCAAACATGTATGTTGTAAAAGTAGTTTATAAGGAATAGTAGATGTGAAGAAGTTTTGTGTCGTGTCTGTAACTCATGGTGTAATCTAATCACTATATTCATCATGTTTGTACAGTCCAATGAACTGACAATTTAAGAAAGGTCTGCCATAAAGCATGAGTTGAAGATACTCTCGGATACTGATAGCCCCGCAGCAGAGGTATCGACCAAGTACTGTAAAAAGTGAGAACAACACTTTGTTTTTTCATGCGTCCGACGCGCTTCTCTGGATTTACCTTCATTAGGAACGCTTAAAGCCGAAAAACATGGAAATATGTAGTGACATCATAGTAAAATAAATGTACATCAACATAAAGTGGTGTCATTTGTATATTGACACAAATTTCGTCATTGAAACAAATATATAAAAACTCAAATAGACGAATAACGATGTCCAATTAAGTGTATCGCCACATCATAGTAATACAAGTCATTAAGTGTCACTGCATGACAAATACATAATGTCGCTAATACCTCTTTTTATCATCATTGAGCGCCCATCATCCTTTGTCTGTCCGTCAGTCATTTGTTCTCATTTAACTATAAACCTTTTACATTTTCGTGCATAAGTTTTTTTTATTATTATTACCTGCACCAATGTTTACATCAATCATTTATAATACAACTATATATCATTTTATTTCAAATGTAAGACTTGCATTACATTGTAAAATTGATATACTCTTTTGAAACCTACAGGCCTTTTTTTAGAAACAAGGAATTAGTGCCATCCCATAATATTGCTATTCAAATTATTGTAAAAAGATTTTCAAATGTATTATGAGGTCAAAATAACCTCTAATTGCCTGCTGAATATTGTTAACATTTAAAGAAAAGACTCTTAACGGTCCTTTTCTTATATGTATATACTGCAGCATTCGCATAAATAAATGCTAATTTACAACAATCATTTTCCTGTTTAAAACTTGATGGAAGTTTGAAACAGTCTTCAGTTAAATAGTCTTGTCTTCGTTTGTATTTGATACATAGAGGCATTATGTTTAAAATATTGCCACTAAACCGTGAAAACTCTTAAGGAAATCCCACTTTCGCCTTCCCTAATATGGTTTGTTTTAAATGCCATTTACTAAGTTGATACAATTGATATTGATAATCCCTCAAATACGAAAATTTCATAATCATACATTTTCTTTTTTGTTAAGCGGTAATTACGTTTAAAACAATATGAGCAAGTAGTATTATCAGTCTTATACATAAACCTTCTCATAGTAAATATGCCAGGGTTGCTATACAGGCTAGTTCAAACCGTTATGTAGTGTGTTATGTTTTATCAAATACGAAATATCACTAATTTGTGTATCTTATACAAAGAATGTAAAACAGCAAATGCAAGTCCACGGGACAGTGGACTCGGTTTGAATCGGTCCTGTGAAAAATGGCAATATGTCGCAAATGAATTGTTGTACATGTGGCAGAACATTCATTGATTACTGTACTATTTTAAATGAAGAATGATATGTGAAATTGTTTACGTATGGTTTGTGGGATTCATTAACAACTTAACTAGACTCCAGATCAATTGGAGCTTAACATATGTTTTGATACGTTCATTAAAGAGAATTCAATGACAAGGATTAGTATCATATATCTTTTTTTTTTGTTTTATTAAATGTTAAGCCATTTTCTTTTTAGCTTATCTGGCTTACATGTAAGAGTTAAGAGAGCTAGTCAATTCTTTGGCGTCCGTCGTGTCTGCTATCGGTTGTGTCGTGTACGCTGACATTCATTCGTCGTTAAATTATTCAAAGAATTTTTTTTTCACCCCGAATGTAAGTATTTCAACTTTTTAGGAATTGATAAGACTAAAATATATAAGTGTTTAAAAAATGTACACTGTACACAGCAACATGATCAGTTACACAAAATCTACATAAGTGCCAAATATATCAAATCATTCGATGACCCCTTAAGAGGCTCATTATAACCTCTATTTTACTGGTGTCTAATTATTTTTGCTCGTTGGTTTTGAAAATCAAGTCATTTGAAAGCGGACTTTTTAATATAGCCTTGTTCACGTGTATAATCGAAAAATCTTTTTTTTTCTTTTTATATTTTGGTATTTGGTAATTACTATCTTTTTTCACATTTTACAGCATTCCTGGTTAACTGGAGTGACAGAGCTGCAGCTCCCATATTTTGCCTGATCATCATGTATATAGTTGGTGAGACATTTGTAGCTTAGTAACATTTTGTATTTACCTGTTCTCATAATACATTAAAAAAGTATTATGACTATGATATTTAATGATTATTTTTTCTAAGTGATCCTTATTCTTGTCCATACTTTTTTTGCTTAAGTTCTTTGTCTATAGAATGTCTTTATGCCATTTTGTTTTTCTTTGTTGACATCTGTTTTTTTTGTGATTAAGTTTATAACACAATGTTGACTGATTAACCTCAATTTTGACCCATTATGTATGTTTGATTTGTTCAAATATTATTGTCACCATGATGGAATTTTATGCGAGAATTTTAGCTAGCTATAAAACCAGGTTCAATCCACAATTTTCTACATAATTAAGGAAATGCATGTTCCAAGTCAGAAATATGACAGTTGTTTTCCATTCTAATGACATGTTTGAGCTTTTGATTTTGCCCTTTGGTAAGGGTCTTTCATCAGAGTTCGTTATTTTTAAGATTGATTGATGATTGTTGGTTGCTTAACCTCCAGTGGCAAATATTTCGTGCACGTGAAGGGCGAGGACAATTTAACAATGAATACAATAGGTAGGTCCTGTAAGAGACGCTGTCCGCGAGATAGGTCAGGAAATGTAGACTGCTAGTGGAAAATGAGGGTATATTGGATAGGAACAGACATTTAGCCTTGCAACATGCCACCTACGGACCATCAAAGTGTTGTTACAAGAGTTCTTAAGGTTTAAAGAGCGTGACACTCTCTCCACAAAAGGCATCATATTTAACGTCCAAATTCTGACCGGACGTGGCTGCTTACTTGTACATCCCGCACAGCCCTTCGGACGTTCAACTTTGGCAAGATTTTTACTGAAGAAGACCTATAGTGATCATATGTCTATTCCCGAGTCCCCGTTGGGGGTTGGTATTTTGATTATTTTACATTTTGATACACACGATCGTATTTTATCAGGTCATATATGTTTAATTAACAACCAGTTGTAATGTCTAAGTGGCCTATTGTGACACATTTGATTCAATAGTTCGCTGATTACTAGTAACTTATTTGAAACAAACAAATATCCATTATTGTTTCAAATTATTTAATGTCAAAATAGTACACTATTAAAACCAAGTTTAATATGAAAAGGTTATTTTGATCTGAACAGCTCTTTAAAAGATTGAACAATTAATTATTAAGTAATTTTCAAACTTTCAGTTAATTTTCAGACTTGTTAGCTGCGGTAAATTCAGGACTGTTCAGATAATTCGCTTACATTTGACTGTTCAGTTTATGTCTATCCTGTTCAGTTGTTGTTATTAAATTGTATATAAGTCTAAAAATAGACTTAAAGACTGAATATGACTGAATAATTCATTATATACTGCAGCTGTGCTATTTGCGTAGTCAAATTGCATTGACCGTATATGCATATGTGATATACAGTCACTGACCATATATCGCCTTGTTTATGACGTTGACAATGCGTTTCCGTAGAGTTTTAATAATGACGTCAATAAAATATACAGGTTCGCGGATATTTTACGTCGTCCGCTCCAAATAATGACGGTTTTTACCCAAAATATTTCATTTGGAACAGCAATAAGAATTGCAGTATATGAAGAAAACCGGCAGAGCCTCGCTTTCTACCTCTTTCTAAGTCTTGTACAAATTAAACTTATATTTCGAGACAATATATGATTATTCTATACCTTCAATCTTTTGCGACGGTGTTAAGATCAACATGACAGTTTCAGACGACTAAGATTCATTTACTAGTGGTAGTTTATGCCTCTTTAAGTATCAAAGTTTAGAATATGTAACAGTTGTAGGAGAGGAACGTATTAAAGAAAAAAAAAATATTACAACTTAAAGTTAATGCGAATCATTTGTTATTGCAAAATAATATAACTGATATCTGGATAAAATCTTTTAGAATAGCTAACAACTGAACATTTTGTTATTTTTACTGTACTAATACTAACTGACAGCGATTATGTCAACAGTAAATCAATCAAACGAACCAAATTATAGATATATATCTGTAATTGTACACTAAATATCAACTCTTTATGTGGAAGGAGTTGTACTACTGAAAATAAAATACAAAAGCGTTATTTATTTGTATTTTCTTTAGTTCAATGGTCATAATAAAGTAGAACTTTAATCAAACTGGCACCATATTTAGGAAACGTCGTTAATACATGTTAAATTTTAAAAAATACAATACTTGGTGTAGTGTTGTGAACTTATGCTGCTACATCTGTTAAAAAGAAACACAAAAACTATTTATTTCAGTCTTGTTTTTATCAAAAATCAAAAAAAATTATGGGAAATCTACCTAGAAATGTGTGAAATAATTTCTAAAAAATTATCATTGTGCAATATTTCTCACGAAACGAATTATCTCCCTTTGGTTTATTTAGAGCTCTTCGGTGCAGAGGTAAAAAAGTGTTCACTGAAAAAAAAATGGCAGAAAGCTATCTGCTACCAAAACTTTTACTGAATTTCGTGGTAAAACTCCTTGTAGCAAAATATTATTGAGAGTAAAAGAAATTCATTGGGATAAGACAATTAATAATATTGTAATTTGTGGAAACTATTTACTTGAAGTAAATAATCGTAAGTACAGTAGACAGCGAACGATAAAACGTTAAATATCATCCAGTTCAGCTAATCTTAGAAAGTTAAACCACCGTTTGAAGGAGCAACAGTTGAGGGACCAACAGGTCCAACAAATGACAACATGTCTTCACGACAAGAAACATTATACTTTCAATTGGTCCAGGTTAGTATAGCTCAAATTTACTATGTATATCATTTCTTTTCATCCTCACAAAAAATAACAACATCTATATGTACATAATACTTCTTAACTTCGATATGTTGAAGATTACAAAATAACAACATTATTTCTGAAGGGACAACCATTTGATTTTTTTTTGTTGTTGAAAGGGAGGGGTAGCAGTAATTTGAATAGGAATAACTTTGCCTGGTAAGAACTGAAAATACATGATTTTGCACAAGACAGGATGACAATAAATAGTCTGCAAAATAAAGTGCAGGATAGTTGAGGATACATATGTGTACGAAAGTGACACAGAGATATGTCTTGCCTCTCCGCATAATATTAAAAAATAGGCAATCTGATGGACAACTACATTGCTTATTATTTCAGTCGCTGATCCATGATCTAGTGGACAGAGCCTGAAAATGGTCGACAAATTGAGATGTTACGTACAGACAGTAATGTAACTTGATAGAAAATAACTTTGTCTAGCCGACTGTACGGTACGGGTTTTTCAAATTGTTGAAGGCTGTACGGTTGCCTATAATTGCTTACATCCACTTCGTTTTAACTTTAGTGTATAGTCTCATTAACAATCATACTACTTCTCCTTATTTTTATATTAATCACAAAAATTCAACATATAAAATGCTAATTAATTCAGACACTGAACCATGACCTAGGGGTAGGCTATCGAAATAGTCGTCAAACTGATATCTACTGATATCTACTGATACATGTTGTAATGCGACTTCATTTCAATATCATTAATGTATCACAAGTAGACCCTATCAAACTAACTTAAGCTGAAAACTTAACATTGAAAATTGCTTATCAATTCAAAGTCACTGGACCATGTCATGGGGGACAGTGCCTCAAAATAGTCGTCAAACTGATATGTACTGATAGTATAGAAACTTAAAAAAAAATATCATTGATCTATCACCATGATCACAAGTAGTTCTTATCAAACTGACTTAAGCAGAAATTTTGATCAGTGAAAATTGCTAATTCATTCAAAGTCACCGGACCATGACCTAGGAATTTTTATAAATGTAGGTGTAAATTAACTGTACATTCCAAAATATGTTTGTACACTGTCAAAATGTTTAAATTGCTCTGGTTATATTAATTGATTTACAACTAAGTGTACATATAGACTCATCTTAAATGCTTGTACATTTGTACACTTGTACATTATAGATTTTAGGGATAAAATATGTTTAATATCAAAGTTGATTGGCTGTGTCTTGAGCCATAATGTATAAACTGGTTAGAAAGGTATGCAATTCTGTTTTGTAAAATATCCTTAAAAGACACATTTTTACCACACGTTTACATTGAAAACATGAGGAAAGAGTAGAAAAGAATGTTTAAACCAATAACATATTCATATATTGTATGAATTGCCAATTTTGTTAAGGTTGGTCAGGAAACTGTAAATAAACAATTTTCTATTTATTGCTTTTGGTTTCTTTAAAAAAAGGCATGCATTCCTTATTTGAATTAAAAAATTGTCTTTTATACTTTTAATTGCAATTTATAACTGATACAATAGCACCAGACCAATTAGATGATCAAAATTAAAGATGATGTCATTCCAATGAAACACACTAGAAGATCAGCAAAAGAGGTAAACAAATATTTTTTTACATTATAAGAGGTTGTTTGTCTTTGAAAAAGATAATTCACTGATATTTATTTCATATACTAAGTACATGTACATAGTACATAAACATGTTGCATATCAACACAAAAAGGAGATGTGATTTGATTGCAAATGAGATAACTATTCACCGGAGTCCCTATGAAGTGGATATATTTAACTATAGGTCATCATTCTGCCTTCAACAATGAGCATTGATGAGCAAAACCCATACGATTTAGTAATCTATAAAATGTCCCGACATGACAAATGTGAAACAATACACTGATTATAGATTTGTTGCTCACTGTTGAAATTTTAGACCAGAAGATAGAAATATATTGGCATCCTTCCAAATATTCATATTTTGTTTTTTAAAGGATAGATGTGTGTTGCTTAACATCATGCAAATATATCATGTCTGTGCAGGACAATTGAAACAATATAGAAAGTTATAGGGAAAAAAGGGTAGGATCGGAAACAACATGAGAGAAATTGGAAACTTATGCAGAGTTGAGTAATAGATAGGTAGACTTAATTTCTTCTTTTAAGCTCACCTTGCCCGAAGGGCCAAGTGAGCTTTTCTCATCACTTGGTGTCCGTCGTCCGTCGTCGTCGCCGTCGTCGTCGTCGTTAACTTTATACATTTTGAACTTCTTTTAAAGAACCACTGAATGGAATACAACCAAACATGGTATGAATGTTCCTTATGAGGTGCTGACCAAGTGTTGTTACTTTGTAGCTGATCCATCATCCAAGATGGCCAACAGCGAGGGACTTCGTTTAACATAGGAACCTATGGACAATACATACAAATGTCTTCTTTTAGAGAACCTCTAAATAGAATAAAATAAAACATGGCATGAATGTTCTGTATAAGGTGCTGACCAAGTTTTGTTACTTTGTAGCCAATCAATCATCCGAGATGGCTGTCAGCGGGGAACTTAGTTTAACAAAGGACCCTTTGTGAAATACATACAAACGTTTTCTTTTGATGAACCACTGAATGGAATGAAACTAAACATGACATGAATGTTCCTTATGAGGTGCTGACCAAGTGTTGTTACTTTGTAGCAAATTCATCAACCAAGATGGCGGCCAAAGGAGGACTTAGTTTAACAAAGGATCCTATCTGAAATATATACAAATGCCTTCTTCTAGAAAACCGCTTAATGGGTTGAAACAAAACATGGTATGAATGTTTCTTTTGAGGTGCTGACCAAGTGTTGTTACTTTGCAGCTGATATGTCATTGTCCTTATAAAGTCATTTTCTACAATTTCAATAAATGTATTTGTTATTTCTGTACACTTTACAAAAGTCTTCTGCTTTCGATTAGATTACGGGGCCAATATTAAACCAAATTTGGTTTCAATCATTATTAGGATATCTGTTATGATTGTAATCTATTTTTACATGATTTCCAAAACCAAAGTAGAATCAAGTGAGCGACACAGGCTCTCGGAAGCCTCTAGTTAAGTTTGTGACTCTTTGATAGTTTTTTTTTTTTGTTTTAAGTTTCAAGTTTTCTGATGACATGTAATTTGATTTTTAGCATTTTTTGTTTGATTTGGATAAAAAAAAACATATAGAATATTTAAATACAGCATGGACATGAAAAATGCTTTAAGCTTGTATTGTCAATTATATGTCAAGTAAGGTCATGGAAAAATATAATTTCTTTCAGAAAAAAATTCTACTATGGAATGTAAGATTCAATGTTTCAATTATTTTATAGGTAGCAACATATGCTTTGGATGTAACAGGATGATATGCCGGAAGTTAACGTCATTTTAGTCACTGAACAAAAGACTCTGTGTCTTGTGTAATCAACAAGTTTATCACTCTTTCTGGTGTTAGTATGTACAGTGAAAGAATGGAACACATAAGCATCAGAGACTCAATCCATAGAACTGAACACCATTATATAAACATGGCTAAGCAATGCTTGGAACTGATACTTTGTTAAATTAATACTTTTCAGAAATTTTGCATTTTCAACTTACAGTTTACCTGAAATGGTCTCTCATGGCATTTGTTGACATTTCTTAACAAAACCTGCCAATGGTGCTTATTTTTGTATATTATCAGTTCTAATGTAATAAACTGTTGGATTAAGTCAAAATTGGAGGTTTATCCAAATTTATGCACACTTTTATGGTGTTTTAATGGAATAAAAATGTTGTTGATGGCAAAAATCAAAACTTTTGAGAAATTTCTGTTTGTGATAGGATTTAGTGAAAATGCTATATATATCATGTATAATATGTTATCAACATTGAGTCCTGCTTCAAAGTAAAATCTAAAGTTTTTGTTAAAATAAATTTATGTACTAATTTTGAAACTATTTTGTAATGGGCTTTCAGTGAAAATCAATTAAAGGTATATGTATATAATTCTTTTTTAAGTTAACCCGTGTAAAAAATTATCTGTCTGTCAACAATTTTTAATTGGCTGCTAAAAATCCATAAAAATAATTGTTATTTTCTCGAATTTCAATAATCAAATGCCTATAGCATGTATAGCTAATGTTAAGAAAGTGCCTTGTATGCTAAAGGACCCTTGCGACAATTCTTTCATGAGTCCTTAGTTGACCTGCTGAAATGTACCTTTTATATTAATCGATTTTGTTCTCTTCTGGAATATGCATGAGATGTTTGCCACTGGACATAAAGCAAACCACAACTAATCCACCATATTTTTTTTAAATCTCCCCCCCCCCCCCCTTTATGATATTGATTGAATGCATTTGTAATAAGTATTTATTATCTCTCTGCCTCACACAAAAAAGGTTAAGCTTAGCCTTTCTTGACCTGTCAATTTTCTAATTGTACCTTCTTATTGTGGATAAAGAGTTTTGAGCTAGTAGCTATTCCAAACTGTCAACACCAAGTGGCACTTTGATCTTTAATTTTCACTACAGCATTTTAATAATAGTTGATGGACTGACTGGTGAAAAACAGTATTCTTTGACAAGTGCATTAAATTGAAACTTACAGAAGTGAGTTCTTGTATGAGAGATTTAGTCGACTTTTTTTTTAGCGTTTTCCAAGTTTATGCATATAATTTGTTGTTTCTATGGCAACACTATCACTAATTCTACTTGGAATATTATTGATATTTCTCAAACACAACAAAACCTGCATAATGTAAACAAAATTGTATACTGCTATATGTACCTAAGTTCATTGAAATGAATTTGTCAAAATTAGCACTTGTCAGTAAATACACACGAAATATGGAAATGAACTGCTTGTTTCCATGGCAGCACATTCAATGGCAAATATTGTACAATTTGAATATATGATTTTTTAAATACTTTTATCTGTTTTTCTTATACTGAGTATTTTTTTTTCTTTTATATTTTTCATGTTCTTGAAAACAGACTGAAATTGTTCATAATCGGCACTTTTATCAAGTTTAGAAACATGGTGTATTTGTCTCCTTCAGTTGTTAACACCATTATGATATACTATACTATCTAAAATTATTTATATATACGCATGCATGTACACAATGAAACTTAATTTAGTGTAGGTTGTTTTAGTTTTCTTTCTGTTGTGAACATTTAAGAAACAAACTGAAACTTTTTTTAAATTTTCAAATTTGTGTATCATCATGAAATTGTTTCTATAGCAACAAACTTAAAACTATAATACCGTTATACATGAATATGTTTAAAAATTTTATAATTACAATTATTTCTACAAATTGTATATTTAGTTTTTTTTTCTAACGACAGAATGAGGTTTTGAAACAGTTTTATATAAAATTTTGCAAAAGTTAATTTTATAGAAAAAATTAAAACTAAGCATTTTGTATCCATGGTAACAAAAAAATAAGACATAATTCCCCATTATTTTTTTCGCATCATTTATAAGATAAGTCTATGGTATTTATGAATTCATGGTTGACTTTAATTCAGGTGTCTGCAAAAAATTATGGTGAGCATTCAAAAATGTCCTCAAAAGGGTATTTTATTACCCAATGCAAACCACCTAAAAAAGGAGCATATGTGATTATGATTGAAAATTGATATAAAAATAGCAGTTATTAAATAACATCATTAAAATGCATATATTTAATAAAATCATTAAAATAAACCTTTCTCTTATTTATTTATTATGAAAAATTATGTTGAAAATAGCATTTTTCAGCTTAAAATCATGGATATCCAGTAGGGGTAAAACTGGTCATCGGTTACTATGGCAACCGATATGCATAGCAACCAAAATGCCATTTTTTGTTTGTTTCATCAAGTCTAGTAAGTGTGTGAAGTTTGAAGAAAATCCATGTGTGCCATACTCCCTATGTAAGAGTTTAAATAGTTACAGAGAACCAGTATTAACAACTATAGGTCAGTGTACGGCTTTCAACATTGAGAAACGCCCATACCGTATAGTTAGCTATAAAAGGCCCCGAAATGACAAAATTATGTAAAACAAATCAAACGAGAAAACTAACACTGTAGTTAATGTACAAAATAATGGGAAAAAAATATGTAACACAGCAACAAATAACAACAACTGAATTACAGGTTTCTACCTTGGGACAGGCACATACATAATGTATGTAAGCCTAGATTTCTAGAAGAACTGTTATGTAATCAATATCACAGTTTTATATAAGCAATATCTGGGAAAACAGTTTAAAATTAGCTCTGATAATGGTTTCCCCTTTCAAATATAAATTCTATAGTAAAATTTTGTGAAATTTATATCAAATGTTAATTTTGTGTTCAGCTCGAAAATAAGTGCCGATCAACCGATTTAACAGGAATTACATGTATTTCCCTTTGAAATGCGATTAATATTGAATACATTGAACATTGTAAGCTCTCTAACACCTATATTTCTTGTCATATTTTCGAAAAAAATTAGATCTAAGAAGATTTTAATAATCAGAGCCGATCACATATTTGGCAGGAGTAATGCACCTTGGAAACAGAAATTTTATGGAAAATATAAATGTTAGCAATCTCATGACCACAATTCTTGAAAACGTCTAAAAGAACCAAAACATTTATTTTTAAATTTATTTTTTTGACAGGTAAAATACGTGTTCGGCGGGCAACACTGGAAAAGTGTTTTTTCATGAAATTTAAATTTAACGTTATCAAATTTAATCAAATCTACAAAAACCGGTAACAATGAGGTTGGGAATTCAGAGAAAATTGCAGTTTGAAAGGGGCTGACAAATGTTTTTAATGCCAGAGGGAAGAGGGACTTAAATGATAGTTGAAAATTTTGCATTAGATGCGTATCACTGGTTCGCATCATTATCCTGGCAAAAACAGATCAATACATGAACTGCATGCCTTCATAACGACAATAACTCTTACAATATCGACAATTCAATTAACGATTATATTTTGGAGACGTACACAGCATAAACGGTCGACGAATAAAAGATATCCTGTTACTCTGAAAAGTAAAGATTTTCTCTCTTTCAGTTGCAAGACTTTTATTTTTCTTTGCTGATTTGTTTAACAAATGGACAAGAAAACAACTACAACAATTTAAAAGATCGTCTGAGAGAAACAATACAGGTAACTTCATATTAAGAGGAAAAAAAAATAAAATAAAAAGCAGTACCATGTATTGATTATTGGTATTTACAGATAATAAAACAGAAGTTGACTGTTAACATCTTTTTGTATATATTTTCAAATTTTGAATATGGCCAGATATGATCACATGGGTGACTCTCTAAAATATTGTAAATGATGATTGAACTTGTGTGTATATTAGTTCGTTGGTTTCGTTATTATCTTTGTTGTTTTGTTTATTCGTTATCCATATAACGGTTTCCGAAATTAAAGACGAGAAAAGGAATAATTGGCGATGTCCCTTTAAATGAATTATAAATTATGATTGACATATGGATTTTGCATTTTGTCATTTTCTTATTCAATCTTCCATTAGTTTGTCTGAAAGATTTATCTGAATTCATGCCGTTAGTAAGCTACAAGTGACACGAAGGCGCCAAGTAATTCAATGTCCTCCGCAACTCGTTGTGGCTGGGACCAAAACACGTATCACGAGCATAATTGATAACATTAATAACCTAACTTTTCGGTATCGTATACTGTGTAAAACAAAATGACTTCTTCGTGTGTATTATTTTATGTATTAAAACATTTGTAAAGTCCTTTGCATGGGGTTAAAGCCCATGCCTACAAGGTTTAAGTGTAGTTTTTGATACACACAGAATATATGAAAACTATATTGAATACTTAATCACTTATTTTACGTTAAAATTTGATAGATATGTTCAGACGCACTAACATATCATTGCAGATGCAGAGGGAGCCAAGATCCCAACAAACAAAACAGCTTATGCGGATCCAATTGGAATTAAAAACTATGAATCTTGTGAAAGAACGTCATTTGACAAAGAACAGAGTATGTATAATTCATATTTTATAATTTGAAGAGAATGGTAAACTATTTGAATTCTTACATATTACACGTTTTTACATTTTGCAAGTATCATCATTGAAATATAGAATATAAAGAATTTTCATATAGTCATAAATATATTATATTGTAACAGGTGTTGCATTATTTATTTGTGCCCTATATCATGTATATACACGATACAAGGGTTAAACATGGGTAAGGGAAATAACTTCTACGTATGCTTTGAAGTTACCTGTGCGTTTTTCCTATTGCAGTAATTGAAACCGTGGTTAAGCTTCTCTGTTCAACATGTTGTTAAAATTGGTTTTTGGGGATAAGGCAACAACATTTGAGAATATTGGATAAGTTAAACTCAAACACGGTTTAAATAAAGTCATACGGAATTTTAGCAAGGAACAAGGATGATACGCTGAGAGAGGTATACAATGATGATACATATACTGTGAATGTTTCCTTTAAATCTGTAAACGAGTGTGGGGAATGACTCTTGACATCAATTTGATAAAATCTTTGCAGTTTGCGAGAAAACAAAAATTGAAAAAAAATGAAAGAGATTGAAGATACCAAACGATTTCAAAACTCAAAAGTAGAATACGAACTGAAAACGACATTGCAAATATTAGAAGACGACACAAAGACAAACACCTTTGCAAATCACTACATAGACTTACATTGTAGCAAAGATTACCTATCCTTAACTTAAAATGCAACACTGAATTTCAACAAAACTTTGGCAGATCATGTATGACCCGTGCTCATTCTATTTTGTAAATATCAAACAAGAGGGAACTGTTGGGTTAACCGGGTCTTATAGCATCATAGTCTAAACACTATTGCTATCTTCTTTTCATATGATAAATGACACAAAATCAAAGTAAGCAGTTCATCAAATTTTGTGATTTCAGCTATTTGTAATTTGGAAGTAACAAAAGAAAAAGAAGATGTAAAAGTACATCAACCGTCAACATTTAGTAAGTATACATTTAGTTTATAATAAGCATTGATTTTAGCCGTTAAAGGGACCCACTAAGAATCGTACATTTTGAACTTGATTATACACATAGTGTTCGAAAGCACATATGACATAAAGATAGGTAGGGCAAGCATTTTTTAGATTTGAATAGTTCTGAAGAGATAAATATAGAAATGTACGTTGAGAACTTATAAATAAGTGTTTGTTACTTTTCTACTTTATATACATATATATCTATTAATCTTTGTCTCTGTCTATTTAAACCTCATATCTTGAATTTCAGAACAGCATACAATAACAACAGATGAAGTTAACTTTTTACGAATGGTTCATCTTCTGTTTAGCGTCGCATGTCCAGTTGTCCGACTGGCATTTAACCATGAGATCCAACAAAACAAATTGCGAAAAACACTAGATAGAAATAAGGCATTACTTGAAAAACTATACAGAAGAAAAGACAAGATCATCAATGATTTCCAGTGGAATCTTTTATTTAAAGGTACATACTTAACATAATAGAATGATTACCAAGTCCATTAAGGGTATGCTACTAGATTTGTTAGCGGAAAACAAAAATCTTTTTACAACCCTTTTGTAAACGTCTCCTGCTTTCATATCGATTGTAAGTCCTTTTAAATAAAGCTGCAGTAACATTTAACAAAATCAACAGATTAACAATCGTTTAGGCATTCTACACAAATTCTAAAGTATGTTCCAACATTTCTGATAACTTTGAATCATGTTTAAAGTTAATCTTTCAGATTTTTGTATGTTATTGTGTGTGTTTTTCTGTCTTATTGATATTAACCCCGTTATGAAATTTTATAGAAAATGTCGTCATTTCACAATTTCTTTATTGTTGAAATGACTTTGGATTAATAATTTAAATTCATATCATGTTTGCCTATTTATAACTGGGTTTATAGGATCAAATGTCTGTAACGGAAGAGGTATGCTATCAACCAAATTATACCTGATATTACAAAAACAATTCATTCATAGTTGTGTCCTGTCCGGATTTTAATGGCAGATTTTTTTAATTTATTTCTCTAGACTTGAATCAATTTAAAGCAGGATACATTGTTTTGAATAGACATGTGTTTTGAATGCCAAAGAATGCCAAAGAATACCAAAAACTATTAAGGACATATCAAATTTTTTTTTTGTTTCATATTGCTACCGTTGTATTGATGTATAACCTAAATCTACTAAAATCAATATTAGTAATTACATCTTTTTTTTTAATTCCATGTATTTCCTCATTTTTTTCTGGAGCCTTTATGACCGACAGGGATGGTGTAATCGTAATCGAATGTAATTGATTACATTGCGTTTATATGTTATCGTTGGTTAATCGATTACAGCAAATTATATGATGCAATCAATGATTACTTTTCGATTACATTTCGGTTACTTAAAAACTAGGTTGATGATTTAGAACAATGTTTAAATGAAAAAAAGACAACTGGATGTATTCGTCAGTTTATGGTAGCTCTTTTATTCATATACAGATAAAATAGAATGTATAAATGCATGAAATATGACTTTTATTCAATAGCTATATAACATCCATAGATCTCTCAAAGCTGTCTTACTTTTGTCCAAATTTCCTGAAAAAGTAGACTGTATCTACAGCTTTTGATACAAATGACTTTCAATGCTCGACTTTAATGCTAAAAGTGAAATAAAGGCTGAGTTGATTTTTGTACTACAATATAGTAGAAAAACTTGATACGAGCCTCCATTAAAACAAAATCAACAAACATGTAGAAACATTGCTTTAAGCGATGTTTTGTAAAGTTCTAAATTTCAACTCTTAATATGTTCAACAGCATAGATATGCTCAACTTCCTTTGTTTACTTTTTGTGTATTGTCATGATTGTGTAACATGTAATCGAGAGTAATCTGAAGGTAATGAATTATTTTGATAAAATTAATCGCATGTTATCGATTTCATACAAAAATCAGAGACATCGATTCTTAACTGATTACAAAACGATCCTTAAGGTAATCAATGATTAATCGTTTTTCATTTGACTGTAATCGTGCCCATCCTGGTCTAAGTAGTTCATCTACAGCAATTACTAGCTTTTAAATACCGAGGGTGTGAGTTCAAACCCCACTCGTGGAAGATGTGTTGGGCCTTAATTAACTAGGATTGCCAGTTTTCCTATCGAAGGTCCGTGGTTCTCTCTGAGCACTCCGTTTTCCTCCATCAATAAAAACTGACAGTCACGATATAATCAAACGTGCTGAATGTGATATCATACGCCAACAGTAAATCAGTCAACCAATCATTGGTTTTCTGGTGTTTATAAAGTTAAAAAATTAACCGCGATTCGCTACGGTGAGGAATAAATATACGATCATTCGGCCACATTTAGCCCCTATTGTAAAATAGATTACTTTAGATTATACACATGACTGTTATCACGAATAACAACCAAACCCTGTAATCGTTTGTGCTGATGTGCAATATGGGTTTATTTGTAGAACGTTTTATAACTAAAGGAGAAAATATAAAAACAAAACAAATAGAATTACAAAAAAATTAATCGAGATCTTTTTACTACATATACAAATTCCTAGCGACAAACCTGGTCTCAAAAGAACGTAGCTCAATTATCTAAGATTTTCAAACCTATTTATATAAGCTTTGTCACAAAATTTGAAAGTAAAGTTCTTGATAGTTGCATGTCAGTAGAACAAGTTTGTCAGTATTTTAACACATACAGGTTACAGATATAAAAGTATTTATGAATTGTTTGAGTACTTTTGGAACACAACACAGTGAAATCTTCTTGTGTTCATACAAGTGAGAGGTTTAGCTAGCTATAAAACCAGGTTTAATCCACCATTTTCTACATAAGAAAATGCCTGTACCAAGTCAGGAGTATGACAGTTGTTATCCATTCGTTTGATGTGTTTGAGCTTTTGAATTTGCCATTTACTTAAGAACTTTCCGTTTAGAATTTTCCCCTGAGTTCGGTATTTTTGTAATTTTACTTTTTAGTATACACTTTAAAAATGTACATCTACGAACTGTATGAATGGTTTTCAGCAGCATGGTATTAACATTAAAGAATGTTACGCAGTTCACATATAGCCCATTAAATCAGTGTCGTTATCTCGTAATTTTGTATTATTTTCAAGTGACTTTTTTTCTAGGGGACACAGTTTCATCAGATGATTTTGATATTACACTCATGATTAACCTCTTACGTACACTTGCAAACATCAGTATTGGCGATATATATCCAGCACCATTTAATACAAGTATCAGCGCAATGCTCACCAGAATAAAGTACATAAGAAACAAAGTAATACAGAACGTGAAAGGGCAACTCTCAGAAGATCAGTTCAATCAATATTGGGATGATATAGGACAGGTAAGATATTATTTTATACCACCACAAAATGTTTTCCGTTATCTTGTTACTTTTTTGTTGAATGTACACGATAGTGGTATTAGATAGGCGAAAAATACCAAAGGGACATTCAAACTCATAAGTCGAAAGTAAACTGACATCGCCATGGCGAAAAGAGAAAAAGACCAAAAGCAAAACAACAGTACACAAAACACAACATAGAAAACTTAAAAACTGAGCAACAAATCGGGGTGATCCCGGGAGCTCAGGATGGGTAAGCAAATCCTGTTCACATGTGGCACCCATCATGGTATTATGCGTTTTAAACCCCCTTGCTTTTCAAATTGTTTTTGACAATCAATAACCTTTGCATTTACTATGTGCTGACATTTGTTATTATACATTATGTCAAGTGACACTTAATGTACATCACGTCAAAATTCTTGTTTTGATATTGTCAAAAAATGAAGCGGAAGATACCAAAAAAATCAACATGCATATGTTGTAGAGATCCCAATGTTACCACGGCAAAACGGAAATCGACTAATAAGTCAAAGAACAGTTTACAAAACACTACATAGAAAAAGACTAAAAACCTTAAGACGGAGCAATAAGAATGCCTTGAAAAAAAACGGGACCGCTCTTGAAGATTAAGCCGGCCCTGCTCCATATATGGCACCCAATGTGATGCTCATGACTAGTACAAATTAAGTGATGAGTCTTAATCGGTGATGTTTCAATCGCAGAAATTGGATACGACTATAAGAATATATCCCTTGCCATCTTTGGCTTAATATTGCACAATGTGAATCCAACTCATAATGGAGTCCGATAGAAGACTTTACTTATATAAACCCTTGGTTAAATAATACCTTGTTAATAGGAGAAATACAAACTGATTACACTAACGCATATGCTATGCACAACGGTATTGATGTTATTTATTAATATTTTATTCAAAACAGGCAGTACTGAAATTGGTGTCATCATTTGAACTTGACATTGATAATGATCAGCAGAAGATACGGCTGATCGGTAAGAAAAAAATGTTTCGAAATCTTTAGTGCATGACGTCTGGACACAAAATATGTAAGCTTTTAACAAAAGCTCTACCACTACACTATGTAGCATTTGTATATGAACTCCTGCATAAAATAACAGAAAGATATTAAATGGGGCGGGGTTGGGCGATCAAACAATAAGAATAACAGAATAACGAATAACACCATAGCCAAAACGATGAAAAGAAAAAAAAACAGGTTACTAATATAAAAAATAAGGAGATGTGGTATGATTTACAATATGACAACTTTCCAACAGAGTTCAATTGAAATAGATGCAAGCAATTATAGGCAACGGTACGGCCTTCAACAATCGGCTATTAAAGGCCAAGACATGAAAAATGTGAAACAATTCAAACGAGAAGATTTATTTTCTAAAAACAACATCATGTTAGTACCAATAAAAACAATATCTAAAGATTTAACTACTGTTTAGCAATACGTTTGTTTAAAGGATCAATAAGTGTAAATGGATTTTATCTAAACTTACGAGCTTTATGTACAACATTGACGTAAAACTAGGATGCGATATCATATTTTTGATACAGCCAAACATCCTACTTAAATCTTTGTATCTAATTTGTGGAACCGAAATCACTGACTTATTAGTTTATCAGTTATACATACATTACGTTCATCGCAATATAATACACGACTACAGAAACAGGCATAGCGAACAAACACGTCACAGACAAAAAAAAAGTCAAGCAATAGGAACTCCATCAAAATAATGGGGTAAACTTGGGTTCTCTTGAAGTTGAAAAATGTCCTACTCTACTAATGGCACGATTCATGGTGTACATAACAAGCAAAGATCAGTTTTTAATTCATTCAAGACTCGGATATTATGTAACGGTCATTTAAATCATGATGTTGCCATTAATATTTCATAAGCTTAAGACAAACATATGCACTTAATTTAACAAAAAAAAACCGATTACTTTTTATTGTATCAAAATTAAACCATAGCTCGGCGAAGAAATGTTAGAAAATTATACATTCATGATACAAATTATACTATCATTTAGGGAGTACGATTGACAAACTCAAGCAATAAATACAAATATCTTTTAAAATATCAGTGCCACAAGATAAATTTATTGATGATCAGCTATTTCCATACGCATGTTTAGATAAACTTCAAAATTGCACTCCTCCTAAAATCACTGATCTTTCTATGGAGATATATAAAAAGCTAGGAGATGTAGTGTGATGCCAACGATATAACTATTCAACAGAGAACAAAGAACATGAATGCATGCAACTATATCTCACATTACGTCTATAACAGGCTAAGCCGTGACCAAATGCGAAACATATCCATTGAGAAAAGAATGGTCCGATCAATGTTAAAACAACAAATGAGAAAAACAAGAATAAAGCAGACAGCAACCAACGACACCACTGGTTAACAGGTTCCTTACATTGGGATGGTAGTATGAAGAATATAAAAAAAGCTGGTATTGAATTACTTAGTGGGAGACTTTTTCATCACTTGAGGATACACATTTGTAGATTTTTTTAATTGTAGTGGTGTTTTTATGTAAATATTTGTTTTTTTATATTTTCTTTAGGTAGACTCCTTGCGTTGAACCCGATAACTTTGGATATTAAAAAACTGCGTATTTTTATTGATATGTCTGAAAAATACCCTGCTATGATACTTCAAAAACTAATTTTTGAATATAACTCTTTACAAAATGTAACGACAGAAGATGTACTGAGAGAGGAAAAACACCAACTTTATCATAAAAGGAAGAAACACCAACCATGCTGTAAATGCACCACAGAATTATTTTCCTCCATTAAGATATTTCCGGAGGAGCAGTGGGAGGCGTTGTATGAAATGAACGAGAGTAGCGATTCACATGTTTGTACATCTAATCTAAGAAACTGCTGTGAACGCTATTTTCCCAAAAGGATTAACACATGTAATGTATTAGTGGCCATTGCATTGATTCTTAATATACCAGACATTTTGACCTATATGATAGATCGTTTATGCGTGAATGGAATCGATAAATTTGTGATGCGTAACCAGCATACAATATACCATTCTATGGAGAGAAAGAGGTGTTGCAAATGTCATAAGGGTTATATGGTACCTACTGCAAACCCATTTATCAATAAAGGAGAATGGAACAGACTATTTGTAAAAGAAGACAATATACTATGCTCTGTCGGTAACACAGATTGTTGCTGTCAGTACACAGTAAGAAATTCGATTCAATACACAGACATGGACGACATTTCTTGGTCAAAAATATTTTATGTTGTGGGTCCTATTAGCGTTGTCAGTAAAATCAAAAGTAATGCGCTTTTATACTTTCTTAATTGGAATGTTGATGACCAAACTTTACAAGGAGCGTTAACAGAATTATTGAAGATGATAGACGATGAAAAGTTTTGCAATGATATGTTACGACGTATATCATCCTTTAAACACTGCGAATCAAGGGAAACAATAGCGAATAAAATGGATGCAACTGAGTGGGTTTCAAGACACTTTCGACACCAAAAGGTATGTCTTAAATATTTGTCAAGTTCATTATAATGTTAAAATGTTTTTGAAGAAAAAACTTGAGTTTTTAAGATATTTTCCTTCCTTACTATTTCATCAGTTTTTTTGTGTATAAATAGTTATTTCCAAATTGAATTAAGTATTGGACATTTTAATCAGTTTCATATTCACAAAATCAAATCGTTCAGCTGAAATATATTTTCTCAGAAAATGTTCTATGAGGTAAGCTACCGTATGTAAAAAAAACTGAATTGATTTGAGAAAATTGTTTGAAGAGATCGAATTGTCGCTCTTAGAAGTTTATTTGATTATTTTGTTTCCAGGAAACTACAGAACAACCACTTCAAATAATTTTACTCGATAAAGGTATGTAATGGAATAGATGGTGTGTAATTTTCATGAAACAACAATTCACATTTTAAAAATGTTTTTTGTACATCTTCAACAATTATGACTGATACTTTAACGATTGAATGTTGTTCTTATCACTGTTAACCGTTTCTTAAATTCCCTATAAGTAGTATTGACCAAATGGTCAATGTTACTTAAATTTGAGTATTGAACATTGTCGAGTATTCTGTTGCTATTATTTGGCATTTAGCTCACCTGACCCGAAGGGCCAAGTGAGTTTTTCTCATCACTTGGCGTCGTTAACTTTTTACATTTTGAACTTCTTCTAGAGAACCACTGAATGGAATGAAACCAAACATAGCATGAATGTTCCTTATGAAGTGTTGACCAAGTGTTGTTACTTTGTAGGCGATTCATCATCCAAGATGGCTGGAAGCGGGGGACTTCGTTTAACAAAGAACCCAATGGACAATACATACAAATGTCTTCTTTTAGAGAACCACTAAATGGAATGAAATAAAACATGGCATAAATGTTCCTTATGAGGTGTTGACCAAGCGTTGTAACTTTGTAGGCGATCCAATATCCAAGATGGCCGCCAGCTGGGGACTTCGTTTAACATAGGACCGTATGGACAATACACACAAATGTCTTCTTTTAGAGAACCACTGAGTGGAATGAAACCAAACATGGCATGAATGTTCCTTATGAGGTGCTGACCAGGTGTTGATACTTTGAAGCCGATTCATCATCCAAAATGGCCGCCAGAGTGGGACTTACTTTAACATAGGACCCTATTGGAAATACATACAAATGTCTTCTTTTAGAGAACCACTTATTATAAATGGAATGAAATAAAACATGGCATGCATCTTCCTTATGAGGTTCTAGCCAAGTGTTGTAACTTTGTCGCCCATCAATCATCCAAGATGGCTGCCAGCGGGGAACTTCGTTAAACAAAGGACCCTATGGACAATACATACAAATGTCTTCTTTTAGATAACCACTGAATGAAATGAAACCAAACATGGCATGAATGTTGCTTTTGAGGTGCTGACCAATTGTTGTTACTTTTTAGTCAATCAATCATCCAAGATGGCCGCCAGCGGGGAACTTACTTTAACAAAGGACCATATGTGAAATACATACTTAAGTCTTCTTTTGAAGAACCACATTTTGAACTTCTTCTGGAGAACCACTGAATGGAATGAAACCAAACATGGCATGAATATTCCTTATAAGATGCTGACGAAGTGTTGTTACTTTGTAGCAAATTCATCAACCGAGATGGCTTCCAACGGAGGACTTAGTTTAACAAAGGACCAAATGGGAAATATATACAAATGTCTTCTTCTAAAAAAACGCTTAATGGATTGAAACCAAACATGGTATGAATGTTTCTATTGAGGTGCTGACCAAGTGTTGTTACTTTGTAGCTGATTTGTCATCCAAGATGGCTGCCCGCAGGGGGAGTAAGTTTAACATAGGACCCTATGGGAAATACATACAAATGTTTTCTTCTAGAGAACCACTGAATAGAATGTAACCAAACATTGCATGAATGTTCCTTGTGAGGTGCTGAAGAAGACTTTAATACATGAATCTTTAAAAATTTAGATATACTGCAAACTACAAATATATCAAGATCTTCTCTTAAATCAACATGAGCAAAATTGTCAATTGACATCTTGTTGGAGTTATTGTCCTGATAAAGTCATTTTCTACAATTTCAATGAATTTGTTGGTAATTTCTGTAAACTTTACAAAAGTCTTCTGCTTTTAATTAAATTACTTGGCCAATATTAAACTAAATTTGGTCTAAACCATTATTAGGGTATCTATTTGTACATGATTTCCAAAACCAAAGTAGAATCAGATGAGCGACACAGGCTCTTGAGAGCCTCTAGTTTATATGAATCACGAACCTTTAAAGCCCACATATAATTTTAATTTTGTTTGCATCATACTTTTTATCCAGCAGAATGCGTAATGGATATAGTATATAAAACTGAATATTGGAGGAATGCATGAAATGGTCATGAGTATTTTATTTTTCAAAAGGACTGTTCTTTACCAGACAAACATGATCATATCCTGAATCGAAGTCAACTCATATTATTAATTGATATATCTGAAATCGAATTCATTTGGATTTTATTGATCCCTTAGCGTTCATAATGTTTTTTATTTTTCACTTTCCACATATCAGTGACTAAGCTCAGTTTAATTTTGCAAATGAATATTTGATAATTATTGATAGCATTTATCTCGACTTTGAGTTTACAAATGTATATGTAGTCTTGCTTGGAAGTTGTTTTTCTGTTCCCCGTTTTTTTATTGGTTTAGGTGTTTTCAAAATTGACTGCAAGCTAATTGTCTGAACGGCACTGAATATACCGCGTTGGATAAGTCTAAAAATTGACTGAAATACTTAACAGGACTGAATGATTTATTGTTCAGATGTTTGAGAAAATATCTATACCAAATTTATCGATTGAGACTAAATTTCATTTACTAATGGAAATATTAAACATGATAAATATTGATTCAGAACTGGTCTGGAAATAGCAGACCTTTACAAACCACATATATTTCACATGCTTAAATATTTGGATTTATGAAGTTTTATACAATTTATATTAATAACATATTAGCTGGCTAAAGCAAACTTGCGGATTTCTTTCATTAACCGTTTATGTTAAGAATATCTTTTCATTTTTAGTTGGTCTGAATGTGAAAAGTTTGCAGATCCCTAAAGATTTTCCTTTACCGCACAGAACGTGAGTACAATTCTATCGTTCTTTATTCCAAATATACATTCGAGACATAAAATAAAAAAGGTTAACACAACCATGAGCATAAGGCTCACCAGTAAACACATTTTGATCTGAAACGGTTCTTTTGATCTAAATTATTCAATCATTTTCAGTCATTTGTTTTCTTTGTTGCGTTTTGTGACCTGTTTTTGTTTTCGTCGTTTTCATATTTTGCCATGGCATTTTCAGTCTGTTTTTGACTTGTGAGTTTGAATATCCCTTTGGTACAAAATGTGTGTTTCGCCTGTCTTTCAGCCTTTTGTTAAAAAAGGAGAGTCTGGGGTATGATTGCAAACGAGACAACACACCACCAAAGATCATCTGACTTGTACGTTTAAAACTATAGGTCACCGTACGGCCTTCAATTATGAGCAAAACCCATACTGCATAGCTAGCTGTAAAAAGTCCTGAAATGTAAACAAATCTTAACGAGAAAAAATAACACCTGATGTATGTACAATTATGGTCAATGTGTTATAGATAATGCATATTTCAAGGTTTATCTTGAGGTATAACACACCGAGGGGTGTCAGGATTGGTCAAATGAAAGACAGACCGTAGGGAGGTCTTTCTTTTGACAATCCTGACACCCTGAGGTGTGTTATGCGACAAGAAAAACCTTAAAATATGCATTATCTGACTTATATACCGTCAACAAATATTATTTTCTGCAAAGATTTGCAGTATTTTCATCCTATTTTACCGACCACACTAAAGTGGGATATTCTTTTCTGATGTGTTCAGGTTTTAATACGCCATATGGCTCATTTATAATGTGTAATAAAACTCACTGATTAATCAAGATATATAAACTTTCGAAATCATTGTCCAGTTTCAATAGAAATATTACTGTAACTGCATGAAGCAAGACACAAATGAATTGTTACAGTGTATGAAAAATACAAGTCACTTTGTAGGTAATTTATTGTATCAACTTTGTTTATGAAAGAGGGATGCTACGTTTTTTTGTTTATTTTCGTGACATTTTCATCTCTGAAAGCAGATTATGTTTTCAACAAATTTTTAAACGAAACATTCAGAGTAATTTTTTATTTCTCTTTTGTCTGGCAATACAACTTTTTTTTTATTTAACTCAGAATCAGGATTAAATATCATACACCCCCCATTTTAAAGTACGTGGATGTTATTCTATAGAAAATAAGAATATTGGGTCATTTTATCATTATTTAGAGTAAAAGGTATATATATATATATGTTGTGTACAAATTGTAATGTTGTACAAATTATAATTTGTACAGTATTTTTGTACAAGTTATCAGTATTTTGTAAATCTCTTTACATATTAATTAAATTAAATAAGCACAGTGTCTTTGGTTAAGCTTATCACTGTTTAATTCCACAACTACATGCTACAGTCTTGCATATAGTACTGACACAAAGTTTATATAAAAACACTAAAAGATTGTTAACAACACAGGATACCTATCAAACGAATCAAATGTTTAAGTAACTTAAAGATTCCATTTTAATCAGGACAATAATGACCTTATACAGGTCATTATTATATGCCTTGTAGCACATTGCATTGAAACTTGGTATCGTCCGGGTTGATTCTTCAAAAGAACGACCTGTCGTTCTGAAAGAAAAAATATCCATGCAGGTATATAATTAGACTTCATCTACTGCGGTAAATCAAGAACGGTTCTGACTATTCTCTTGCAGTCATTTTAGCTATGTTGAATATTTGTTCAAACTGCTCAGTCGTTACTATTGACAATCACACAGTATCATCATAGTGAATTCTCTGAAAAGCTACTGAACAGTATTACATGGGCTGCAAGCGAAGTATCTGTACAGTACTGAATTTACCGCCGTTGATAGTCTAAAAATTGACCGAAAGAGTGAGCAAGACTGGTAATTTGTTCAGAATTGTCAGATGATGATAAGATCAACATGACTGTTTGATATCACAATTGATAATTTGATATACCAGGGAAAATATCAACCAGTACACAATCTTGGTAATGATTTTATACACAAATAGAGTTTCCTACAGATACATCCGAACTCCTACCTAATTCTGTGCATCTATCAAAGAATTTAGTAATAGTTATAAAAAATGTGTGGTAACGAAATTCCCGAATTTCTATTTTAACAGTTATGCATGTATATCATGGCAATTGACATCTTACACGTTACTTCAACCACGAACAGCAAGAAGTCAAGAAATATACCAACCATTAGAAGGAGCCAAAGGAACATTGCCGTCCAAAAAAAATCAAATTAACAATTTGGAACAAATTTGTCATTTTATAAAGGGTTACCGTGAGACACTTAAATATCCAAATCTATGAAAAGTGCAATATTGAAGTTTATATTTGATATGCTACCTTGGATAAACATCCGCAGTATAATATTAGAAATGCTTGATTATTAACAAATCTCATATCAAAGGGGTGTAAATGGTGCCCACTAGTAAACCCAAAGCATGTGAATAAGATTTGATGCCGAGACCTACCAAAAGCTTATGACGTCTTTACAGTAAATCCTTGGATGCGTACTGATTGATGCTTTAGTCTGGGTGAACATTGTCAATTTGTTAATTGAAATTGATTAAGAACGAAATTTAATTAGTTACACGCTCTTATTTCGGTGCTTTTTGTCGATTATTAGTAAGTGGTTTTTGTGTCTCGTTCCGATCTTTTCAGCTGATTTTTACAGTTTGTTCTAATGTTATGCTGTATCACCACTGTCCCAGATAAGGGGAACGCTTGAGTGCTCACAAGTATGTTTAACCCCGTCCCCAGTCAGAAGCCTGTATTACAGTGGTTGTCGTTGGTTCGTGTATCTAATATTTGTTTTTCGTAAATTGTTTTGATATAAATTAGGCCGTTAGTTTTCTCGTTGAAATTGTTTCACATTGTTCATGTCGGGTCCTTGTATAGCCCACTTAACTGTTTAGATGTGTTCCTTGTTGGAAGCCGTACGGTCGACTCTAATTTCTAACTACCGCTTCTTTCTAATTCGGATTGATAGTTGGCAATCAAATCACATCTCCTCATTTGTATATCGAAGGATCATTTCATTAAAAAAGAACAAAAGCTCGCTTGATAAGATTAAGATGTTATGGTATGTAGTGTCAAAAACTCCGAACTGCTCACCAAATTGAATCGACCACCTATAGCATTAATTAGTATTATTTGATATGCGTTATCACAAAGAAGGATGATAAGTTCTTTTATTGTAATAAGTAGTTTAGTTAAAAGGACAGAATTATTAGTTGTAGAACAGTTACTAGAAGCCGGTACTAAATAGTTGTTGTGAAGTTTAGGCAGCCGATACATAGTGCAGACCATCAAATGTTCACAGGAGGCATTCGGCTAAGATGCTGACATGATTTTATACTATTTGACTCTCTGTTGAGCGCGTTACGAACGATGTTTGTATGGCAGAGGACTCTCTCCCTGAGACCCCGTCTGACCCCTTGTCGAGCTCATTCTATTCTCATGCATCACGACGGGTACAAAAAATGGAGCAAGCTCTGCACACCATCCCAGATCACCTGATATCAATTCCGATTTTTATTGTACGAATCGCGTTGCTTTGTCTTGTTAGTTGTGTAGTTATGTTGATTTTTGTAGATTGTTGTTTTTGTTTTTTTAATCGTTTCGTTATTACGTTTTTGCACAAGTTTTGTCGGTTTCTCTTGAATTTTAATTATGCCTTTGATATCCTCTATCTCTCTTTTGAACACTGATAAACTACGGTTGCCTTCTATTCACTGTTAACGTCGGCTAAGTCAAAGGTGACTTAAGATGTACTGGCATTTCTTGCGATTCTCAAAAAAGTCTTATGCATATGACTTTCCAAATGCTTGTCCGTATACCTATCGAAAGATATTCTTACAACACTTGTGTCGCATGGTACTGTATCATATGGTATGTATTTCTATTATATATCGCAGTATCACATCGAATCAAATAATGTTGTATGCTTTGATATGGTATCTATTCGTTTATTTTTCAAAATACAACGATTTTAATAAGAATTTATCTTTTCATCTTAAAGGCTTGTAAATTGTTGTTATATTGTTTGTAATATGTTGCAGTAAAAAGTTCATGGATCTCAATTCAGAAGAAAATCATTTCTTAGTGGCAGTCCATGCACTAACACAAATTGTATATCCTGTAATACAAAATGAATTTGATAGACTATGTCCTGATCAGGAATTAGAAAAAATCCGTATAGATATGTATGAGCAGCAAAAGGCTCAGCATTGTAATGATTTGCACAAGGATGGAAATAAAAGCAGAAAGGAAAGAATATACCTTACACAGAATCAACAGCAACAACTCTTTTCACCAAAAAGTTAGTTTATTATTTTTTAGGCCTCTTTATTTTCTTACACATGCACATACTTCTGCTTTGAAAAAAGTTTGTAGTTTATTAAGTGGTTTGTTGATTTTGTAAAATAGTCACATAATTCACCATTCTAAAAACTCCTTAAATTAACATGAAACACAAATTAGCGTTTCTTTATGTATCTATGGTATGCAAGGAAGATTCCGCTTGTATTTTGTGTATATGAAAACGTGAAAGCCACTTTTGTGTACAATTGGGTTTTTTCAAAATAAAATCATGCATTTAAAATAACTGGTCGATCAAAAGATTGAACAAAATTGTTCAATGTAATGGTACTAAAATCGTATCTGTAAATAGTACAAAATGTTTCCAAATTTGAAAAATATTAAAAAAGATGTCTTGAAACGAACAAAAAACAAAATCATAAAATATTTTCTCGTCCACTAAGTTTGTTGTCACATCCAGAGCATAATCATATCTAAGTATATCACAGTTAAACTATTTTATAAGAAATTGTTCCTAATGATGTTTTAATTTTGAATTTGATATTCATATGTGAAAACGTATAGATTAGGACTAGTAAACGTGTATTAATATCACGACAATATATGACTGACGTTTACAAAACTAATCATGTGCTACATGTACTAGACACACAAACATCAACAAACATACATAAACTCAACGCAGGATTAGGACAGGACAAATATCTCAGACTTTTCATATGTCATCCTTATGTAAGTTCAGAGATTAAAGACTAAGAACGTTTACAATTAAAAGATAAAGCTGTTAACTGTATTACAGGTAAGTTAAAAATCAATTAATCATCCAGATAATATGATTTTATTTCTTTAGAAGAAGAATCGAAGAACTTAGATTTAAAATTGATGATTTACATTCTGAAAAAACGAATCGAAGAGGAGGGCAAGGAAGATGGCGTTGGTCAATTAGAAGTAATCGATAACATCAGGCGAGAAATTGTTCAAAGTAGTAGCGGAGTTTTAACTGAAACACGTTTCCAAGATATCATAAAAAGTATTAGAAAGGTAAGTCAATAACCGGATCCCTTTTAAGATTGTAAATACTGTTCATAGTTTAAAGTACGAAATATGTTTTTTTTTCTCATTCAAAGTATAAAACTGTTTATGTATTGTCAATGAAATCTCAGCGTTTGTATTCAACAGATATAAAACATTAGTTATTAGATATCTGATAGAATACAAATGACAATTCATTTGGAGATGTAATTCAAGATTAATATTGATCTTTCTTGCAATCAGTTATCCTTTTGTTTACATCATAACACTATATCACACGTTTATAGATATAGAAACATAAAACTGGTCCAGAAAAATACATTATGTCTGTGACACTATAACATATCGTTATAATTTCAGGCAGTAATGCATTTCGGAGGAGAATTTTAATGAGGAAAAAGTATTTAACATTCATCAAATACAAAATATTAATTTTCTAGGTAAGTATATTCAACTCTCTTGATAATGTAACTTCTAAGGTGTTTATACTGCGTATGGTATGCATTGTATTTCGAACTGTGATGCCGGTTAAGTATTTTAAATGCTGAATAATTGAAACGGATTTATTTCTGAGTAGAACATTTATTTTTGTGTGTGAATAACCAGTAATAATATATGCATGTAATAGTTTTTCTCTGGTTTCTGTTATTGCTATTCGTTCCTTTTTTTTCCTTATCTATATCCATTATCATTTTAGTCATGATAATAATTGTTAAATTTAAATTATTACTATTATTATTATTTTTATTTTTATTATTATTATTATTATTATTATTATTATTATTTTATGTTATTATAATTACATTTTATCATTGAACTAAGGAAGTAGTCTCGGGTTACCGATCAATTAGTATAGAAAATCTGCATCTACGGCTATGGATAATGCGGACATAAGTTATATGACTGCTCTGGACCAATTCGTATGGTTCTTCTTTTCAAATTTAAATAGGTTACTCCTGTAAGAGTTACACAATTGGAAAGAATTTTAGACAATATCAAATGAACATATCTGGTGTAATGTCATAATGTTACAAAGTTGCAAAAGAAATGTGATTAAAAACAAAACACTTGCTCAGTCGTGATAATCACATTATTACCTAGGTTGCAATTTGTACTTTTTAAATTTCATCATTTCTTTATCGCTTTCATTCTCTGAATCCCAATCGATCCTGAACATACTGAACTCAAGTAAAATTTCTAACTGTTCTCATAACAAATTCTTTGAAGTAGGATAAGGCGTTTTACTGTCGTTAAAGATGTGTTACTCTCTAAAGAAAGGTAACAAAAAAATGTTCACGAAGATTATTTTACTGAATGAACTGAAGTTTAATACAAATTTGAAAATCGGTTTTCTTTTTTAAGAGATTTTTCGCATAGTAGATATGACTCTATAAGGTTATTGCAACAATTACAAGAGGAGAAATGTACATATTCTTTTATCTCAAGAAAATTCTATAATTTGTCCAAAAGTAGAAGAAACTTACTTTTTTTTTAGTTGTTTTCTTCCAGTAAACAATTCGCTGATATGCTTTCCGTATGCAGTGAAATCAGCGTGACCTTTCTCACAAAAACCCGGTGATCGCAATACGCATGGATCTATCATTGAAATAGAATATTATCTTACTGTACATGCTTTACACGTGCTCAATGTCCATGCTTCTTTGTTGATTGTTTATTTATGTGATAATCGGTAAACTACGGCTTCAAAACATGAAAATTATTTAGCTGCCATACTTTCACATCATAACAGACCGAGATTTTTTTTTGACGATTGTACGATATGGATGCCTAAAAAACGATAAAATCGGGCACAGAAGACTAAGTTTGTGATATATACTTGCATTTGTTCAAGAATTGGATGAATATTATTTTTCATCAGTCACTCGTTTCATATGACTTTAAACTATGGTATGCCGGAAGCGTATTTTATAACTTGAAATACTTTATTTTGATTCCATTTTCGATATGGATGCAGGTAGAATATATATATATATATATATCAAAACGAATGATGTTTTAGTATGTACTGTTTTCAAAATAGTATACCTGTTTTCATTCCAGAATAAATTCAGAAGGACCAATGATATAATTATAACCATGAAACAGTTGGACGAACATACATAATCTTATTCCAGGAGTATACTATTCATATACATATTATATACATGTATCTCCATCATGTAAATCTCTGAAATCTGGACATTGTCTGCTTATACATTTGGTCATTTATATTAGCCCGTCAACGTTTGTAGACAAAGGCTATGGATTTTCAAATGTTTTGTCAACGAGTCAACAAGCATCACCTTAGTCGATATGCGCATCACAAGCAGTAAAATTGCTATTCATTAAACATTGTTAAAAGCTTAACACAAACAATACTTTTTGTTTCTACTAGCAAATGACTTTATGTGTACAATGTATTATGTCAGTAATACTGTCTTATATGTCCGATACCCATCCAGTAAATTAACATACACGTGAACACTAAGGCTAACACTTGATTGAACGAGTAGAACAATCTATAAATATGACAACATGGACGAATTTGTCAGGCTTATAAGATGATATAATGTCCTTAAATATTATTTTTCAACAATCTTTTAGTTTAATCTGTTCTCATGAGAGCTATTGTAGATAGAGAAAAACTTTATATAACTTAAATAACCAGAACTCAACACATACCCTTTATCACCAGGTGACTCCCCATACATCAAAAACTGGAAATATAAAGGATATGCATAGGGAACAAAGGTTAACATAATTTGATCTATAACCGTCAAAGTGATATGCACAGGCTCTCATAAAACTAAACAAAAAACATTTTGTCATTTCTAGTCTTTCAGTCAATTTACAGACCATATTGCATAAATCAAAAGAGCACGACTAAACAATTTACAGGTCAAACATAGTTGATGATGTCAAGATCACACTGACCGTATACAAAAGAGAGACAAATGATACGAAAGGGATACTCAATCTTTTAAGTCAAAATCAAACCTTGAATGCCAATGCAAAAAAAAAAACAAAAAACAAAAAACAATTGAAAGACATACAGTTTAAATATCGAAAATCAAAGAGTTATTAACACAAATAGGACCAAAAAGAGAGATGATATCAGGAGCTCTGGAAGAGTTAGAATATCTTACTCTTCAAGTGGCTCCTGTCTTAATAGTCATTTCAGTACAAAACCAGTAATTAAGTCTAATTCGGTTAGTCACATTCGGAGAAAAGAGGACAATATAATTGTTACGACAATTGGAACAAATCCGTCGTCATCTGCGATATAGAAATTCCATAACGGTCAGTCGACTCGTGAAAGCGTCCGATAATGGTTGTTTAACAGATTTAAATTCAATAACTAGTGATATGATATATTTTTTGACAATTGTTGTAATGATTAAGCTGTATTTTACCATTTATATTGCTGCAATTTATGGTATATCAGTGTTTAATTTAGGTACAAGTACATACTTCAATCGAAAATGTCTCCCTTTTTTTCCTTGGGCGTACAATAAATCTTATTTACGATCTAATATTTAGTTTAAACAAAGCTGCATTATTATAGTGAACTAAGTGCAATTTTGAGATGTTATATGTGTGTTTTTTGTAGTAGTTTAGGATGAAAAGATAATTATGTATTTTCCGACAAAGTGTGTTTGGCAGATCGAAATTTTTTATTGAATCCTGTGTATAGTTCTATTGAGGAATTTTAAAAACACTTTACCTGAGAACAATGCTTCGATCGAATTATTGATATAAATAAATCTTATAATATGCGTGGTATTATTTGACATGTTTACCAGACCAAACAATGTAAACAACAAAAATGTAAGTAAACTTTCTGATTAAATTCACATTATCGCTTGTTCTATTATTATGTTCATTGAAATATACGAAATGTCTAGAGCGTCAATCTTTTTTTAATGTCAAAATTAATTTATAATTAATAATTTAATCGTCTGTCTACACACAAAACTAGATGTTGATACCAATGCACTGTTTAATTCGTTAATAAATCTTTCACTTTTCATTTATTGTGTGGGACTTATAGCAAACACAATCTTTGATATTTCTTGATTTAAAGCCAATATCGGAATGGAATGCTATCTAAATTAACTAGAATGTACTTTGCTTTTATCATGTACAAAAAAAAGCTAAACGGATAATCGAATGTATTCCCATGTGAAGGGAATGAACATTTGCAGAATGGCTTTCTAACATGATATGTTCTTTTTGGTCAGATTAAGATATCGGGGTTTGCAAACGTAAACTACTTCCTAAATCAACTCATCCTAGAATCTTTGAAAGTTTAAACCATTATAAAATCCCGTCATTGTAATATTGGGCTATGGTATTTTTTTTTTTGTATTCTTGTCTCTCATTTTTGTTAATGTGCTTTGTCTATATGCCTTCTTGTGCATATTTGTTTGTTTCCATAGTGATTAAGATTATAACACAATGTTGACTGCTGTATTCCTATTTTTGACAATTTTACCTCTTATGTCTGTTTGTTTTGTTCACACATCGTTGTCAATATAATGGAATTTTATTCGACTGTCATACAAATGAGAGGTTTAGCTAGCTATAAAACTAGGTTTCAACCACCATTTCTACTAAAGAAAATGCCTTTATCAAGTCAGGAATATGACAGTTGTAATCCATTTGTTTGATGTGTCTGAGCTTTTGATTTTTGCTATTTGATTAGAGACTTTTCGTTTTGAATTTTCCTCGGAGTTCAGTATTTATGTGATTTTACTTTTTATTCAACCTGACTTTTACTTTATTTAATCCCAGTAATTTACAAATTTACTAACATAACTACGCTAATTGCATTCATATTTCGAAAAAACCCAATTTTTGAGGGTTTTGATTTTACTATCAGACTGTTTTTTATACGTTTTCTTTTGTAAGCGTCAAACCAGATGGACACACGGTTAAGTACAAAATGAACGTCGGGCCATTTGTTTAGGCATCTGAAGCCATCGTATAACCACCAGTTGAGTTTTCAGGCTCCGGTATCAACTTTGTGAACGGTGAAAAAATCTATGGCATGCCAAAACAATTCTGAAAAAATCTATGATGCGATCAGACATCACAAAAAAACACGAAAGAAACAAGAAGCTGCCCGATTATCTTAGGAAAGCCACAGGACTATGTGAAACCCATGACATGCGATGATATCTTGATATGACAACGATGTTGGCGAAGTCAGCTGAACTTGAGTAGATCAAACAATTCCCTAGTGTCATTGTAACGTGAACATATAAAGGACAACCTCAGAGTATCTGTCTCAGACAGCCCTCAGCAACTCTACAGAACAAATGCGTGTGTTTCTTTCTTCAATCACAATTATTCACTATGCAGTTTATGCAAAATGGCATATTTTGAAGATTAGACAACCAGGGGGAAAACAGCATATCTTTGTCATATTTTGCCGTTTGCCTTCCGTATATTTGACAATGTCCTTATCTTGTTTTGATTTTGATTTTTCGCGAAGTTGTAAACCGAGGTCTAAGTGGGTATACAAATGGCTGTCTGATACAATAAGAGAACGCAATGGCAACTATTTCAATCTGTTAAGGGAACTGATAACAATTGTGAAAGCCTTCTAAAACTACACAAGACTCCTCAGAGTTATCTATGAGCTCCTGCGAATGACATAACAAAGAACAATGACAGCGGAACAAGCGGACAACAATTGTCATTTTCCTGACCTGGTTCAGAAATTTTCCGAAAAAAAAAGGTTTAACATGGTTCTATCGCTAGTTAATCTCCAACATGTAGGATATTTGTTTACATCTCCGTTATATTGACAATATAAGTTGAGGAGATAAGACAGACATAATTGGTTAATTCGACAATAATTTGAGACTCAGCAGCAAAATCCATGTAAAGGTATATCATAGACACACAACTGACTGAATTAAAACAAACATACACAACAATCTGACAAAGAAGCTGACACAAATTTGTTTGTAGTTGATGCAAATGCAGTTAGTAAAGATAATGGCATTATGCCAAGAACACACTATTTCGATTATGTGCAAATAAAGTAAAATAAGAATACATATGCATATACAAATACAGAGCAAAGTTGAGAGGTATCTGACCAAAAGGAACATAATAGTACAATGAAAAAAAGCAAAATTATAAAGTACATAAAATGGAATACAACATCCGCACCATGGAATATAAACCCAAGTCCCCACTGATACTGAATCTTTTACCTATTAGGTCTTGTTATTTCCTTTAAATAATTGTTTATCCAGACACTTTTGACATTTTACAAATTTTTAGGAATGTCTAAAAGCTTTTGAATATCGTGTGAGTTTAAGAAATGAATCTTCAATTCGCGGAATTGGCTGCCATAGTGAGAACAATTTTTAATTTAAAGATTGAGAAGTCTAGTTTGTCTTAGATGCTGGTATTGAAATGACTACTGTAGTCAAATTTTATGTTTATGTCTAAAGAAGAGGTTCACGAGGAGTTGAAAGTGCATTTCATGAAAATTGTTCACATTACACCTTCTTAATCTGAACATGCTTCATGCCTTCATGTATTTTTCATTCGTAACAGTTTATTCGTAAACTTCTCTTCTCTTTTCTCTGAAACCACGTAAAAATCTATTGTTATCGATCTGCATTTGAATCATTTGTAACAAAGAGCTGCAGTATCATAGTATAGAATGCATTGTCAACTGAATACAACGTTGAAACATAATACATGTGTTCATCCGGTTATTTTTGGATAAAAGGATTATATATTTCCAGAGTTATTTTGAAAGAATAAAAAATGTATAGCATTTATTAATTCTTGTGTACACTACTTTGAATGAAGTTAAATCAATCTACCTTGTAACAGTAATTCTATCGTTTTATTTATAGAATACAAAAGACATTACGTGTTCAAACTGGTGATGCATGTCATACACCTTCTTACTTTGCTTTTATAATTGTCCTATTTTAAAACATTTACAAAGATATAATCATTATGAACATTACAAAATTGTCCATTTTTCATGTTTTTGACAAGAGATTTTACATATGGTTAATAATTTAATATAGTATGCTCTGGCTATGGGAAAGGTGGATCAATAACTGTTGACAAATATGTCCGTGTTTACATTACATAATTAAATATCGTCAGACATTTTTAGGGCTTTACAAAATTTAAATGTTGTGTTGTGTTTTAAAACATTATTTTCTTAATTTTGATGAGCATTTATTTCCTGTTGTCTCAAACATGTCAAACTGGGGATTTTTTTTAGATCTTTCCTTTCAGATTATTATTGTATTTTATTTTATTGACCTGGATAATATTGATTCAATATGTGTCAGCTCAACAGTACGTCATTTAAACTATGTAGGAAGATTAGGGGAACGTATCTTATTAAATTCATTTGTTTGATTATTCAACCACCATCCGCTTGACTAACAAATGTGAATTTTAAATATTTACCGAGATTTGTTTTCTAGTTTCTAAATCACAAAAAAAGGGATAACGGTTAAATATGTCCAGGTTGCTTGATTCAAAGCATTACACCTAAATGTTGACTGAGAACACATCGTGATATGTTATCAATAATAATTAAAGAAGATTTGAATCTCAGTCCTCTAAACTTCTTTGAACAATTATTTGTCAAAAATATTCTAATTTTTCAAATAATTTATATAAGAATAGAATGCAATCCGATTAAAGTAGTTTTATTGTCTGTTTTTCCTTTTTGTGTCGCACACAGTATCACACAAATAAAAAACAAGATGTAGGTTAAGTTTATAGTCGGATTAGAATGGAATGAATATTTGCAAAATGGCGTTATACCATGGTATTTTATTTTGGGAAGATTAGACCTTAGGTTTTCAAAATTTAACTACCTCCTTATTCATGTAAAAACCAATATAGTTTAAATGACTATGCCACTCAACTTGAATTTTTCATTGTTTGATCAAGATAAATGATATCATATTCTTGGAAAGCCCATTGTTTTGTCGGTTATGCATTATACATCAAACTGGTATTTGAATACCTTTCTTAACAAGTGTCATAAAAGGTATGTTTTATATTTCAAATAATGATCAACTAAATAAATAATGGAATCTGTGTTGCCGTTTTAAATGTCAAAATGTATTGATAATATATTTGTCGGTCTACAGACAGATCTAGATTTTGTTACCTATTCACTGTAGAAGCCGTTAAATGGGTTCTCTGTTTAACAAATCTTACAATAGCTTATTGCAAAATCAAGCACGTAATTTTAGATTGATTAAATGCACTATAAATTTAAATTTTTATGTTTCTTAAGTTAATTTAGGCATTTCACCTTTTTCTGTATTTTCCCTATTTTAAAAAGGAAAGTCCATAAAACCTTTTAAATAATTAACGTCAATATATTAACCAAAGGAACGAATAGAAAGTAGTTGTCAAATCCCTTACTTGGTATAGGCATATTCCGAAGAAAATGATATGCTAAAACTAATTCAAATGGCTAGCTAATCTCTCACGTGTTTGCTAGATGATGCAAGTTCCATTTTTTTCTCTCACAATATTGGGTGAGAAACTTAAACAAACATGGTTATCATGACCATAATTGGGATTCAAACATTCAAAATTACAAATGTACACCTTAGAGTCCCAGGAATGCTTGAAGCCAAAATCCCGACAGATTGATGCCTCAATACTGATAAAACGTAACAAGTCATACGTACAATAGGAACATAGAAGTACAAAGAAAAAGAAAAAAAAGTAAAGTAAATAAAATGAAATGAAACTAAAATCAATAGTGCAAGGCAATTTTATATAATTTGTGAATCTTTTATGAATAAGGGGTTGGTATTACCGATTAACTTTTTAAGTGAAAAGAAAACACCTTTAACTGACTCTATTTTAAAAGAGTAAAATCCATTTTATTCCTTTTTATAATATTTTTCAATGTTTACCATAAATGAATGCAGATTTCATAAAGAAACACACAATTTTTACAATATTCCCTGTTTTTATTCATATAATTGATAAAACTTACATTTAATTTTCGGGAAATTTCCCAAAATATATTAAAGTTTCAAAATATTTGTGGTAAAGATGTATGTGACAACTTTTTATTCGGGAAATGTCCCGAAATCATTTTCAACATTATTATTTATAACATATATGTTGGCAAAGCATTTTGACAAATAGATCTGAAACACATTTCGGGAAAAATCCAGACAAAAATAAACTAAGTACAAAATGTATAACACAGATGTCTTCAAATATTTCGGGATTTATCCCGAAAACCCAAAGTATATGCTAGAAATCATGACTAATAATTTTTTTCACATTTCGGGAAAAATCCCGAAAATATAAATCTATTATCAAGCACACACTTGTTGCATAGACTTTTTTTACCCATTTCGGGAAAAATCCCGAAATAAAATCTACAAGTAAAAATTATGCTACAGATTTCTTAAACATATATTGGGAAAAATCCCGAAAAAACAAAATTGATAAGATTTTACAATACAGAATTTTAATACATTTAGAGAGTTTTTATGTTAATTTGTTTCAAACATTTGTTGAAATATTATGATTCATAAAAATATGTCTTTAACTGAAAAAAAATATGAATTTTGTTTATAAGCATACTTTTCATTACAGTTCCGAAAAAAGTATTTTCTAAGAAATATAAAGGTTGCTCTCTACTGCATCTCTTTTGTCATGCTTCAGTGATTCCCTATATATAATCAACCAAATTTGTCCCACAAAAGAGGGGGGGCCAGGCCCCCTCTAAATCCGCCTCTGATAAGTGGTCGATTTTAAACTGGCCTAAGCATAAACTTTAACATGTAAACTTTGCAAAAGATTCTTAGTTATTTGACCATGATTGAAGGTTCAAGGTAAAAAAAAATCCCCAAGCACATGCGTTGTCCAAAAGCTTATTCAACTGCAAATAAAATATCCCTAACATACTATTAATGGTTCTCCTTAAACTGAACTTATCACAAACCTTACAGTGTAAACTAAGGAAATTTTCAAAGTCAATATACCATTAGGTTACTGAGAGGCTGGTGAGGAGGGCGGTGCTCTATGGGATTGAGATGTGTGTCTACAATCACATTTCCGTGTTCAGTAACTCATTTGTAATTATTTAAAAAAATGACTTCATAATGAACACTTGTAAGTACAAAGTTTCAAGTTTATTTGACCTTAACATCATAGTAAACTAATGTACACCAAAGACTTAACCTACTGTACTGTTTGTACATCTTGAAAAAACAAATGATTGATAAAAACTGGTTTCAACTCATTACTTCAAATGCCAATGAAATTTTAAAATAGGACGTAAAAAAAAACTAAAACTCAAAAATATTTAATAATATAGCCTCATTTCATTTTCCTAATTTGCACAATTTTTTTTTTGTCACAGAAAAAATGGAAGAAACTATCTTTAATTATATTTTTCTAAATTTCTTTGATGTTCTCCACAGGAAAAAAAAATTACTGTTCTAAAATAAAATACATGTACTATATAATATTACAAATACATAACTACGGGTACAAATCAGAGTAGACATGTGAACAAATCTTCATAACATGTGCAATGTTTGTTATATTCAGATGGAATTATTACATGTTATATAAATTGATCTGTTTCTTTACTGATGACTAGTTCTTTCTTCCTTTCAATCCTGCCTATAAGAGCAAAGTAAAATAACATTTAATAAAAGATAACAAAAACATTCTATTCCACTGTACATGCTAAATGTAAATATTAATAGTGAGGTCAACAATTTTGATCATGTTGATAGGTTGAGACTTTCACACTTGACATTTATAAAAAAAACTTCATTTCCCCCTCTGAACATTTTGATTGCCTTGTGTGAAACGCCTTGTGTGACGTTTCAAACAAAACATGATCATAAGGTACATAATTTTTCCAACATTTTTTTACAATAAAGATAGTATAGCCATTAATAGTTTTCAAAATTATTTCAGTGTAGAGTTGAGTAATCTTTTCCCTTTCTCCAATTGAATGTTACTGGCAACCTGCATTCTTCTATGTAACTTTTTTTCATTTTACAAATACTGATCAAGATTTAAAAGGGGAGCAATATTGAGTTTTCAGAAACTACTGCAAGTCCATGTGCCTATCCAAAGTCAAGACTTTTCCTGTCATCTAAAGTTGTATCTTAAAGCTTTTGTTTTTAAGGAATTTGATGTTGATAGTAGATGTTTGTTTGTTTTTGGCTTTTCAATTGACAATTGCGATGTTTATTAAATTCTACAATCACTTGTTAATCATTTCAAGACAGTTGACCTATAAAAATATGATGAAACCTTTTCAACTGATTTTTATAGTTTGTTCTTAAGTTGTGCTGTAACACCACTGTCCCAGGTTAGGGTAGGGTTGAGCACTCAAAAACTTGTTCAACCTGCCACATTCTTTATGTGCCTGTCCCCAAGTCAGGAGCCAATACTTCCATGGAAATCGTTGGTTTTATATGTATGTTATATATTTGATTTTCGCTACTTGTTTTGTTATAAATTAAGCCGTTAGATTTCTCGGGGCCTTTTATAGCCGACTATACAGTATGGGTTTTTCTCATTGTAGAAGGCTGTACAGTTACCTATAACTGCTTACATCCACTTTATTCAAACTTTGGTGGATAGTTGTCTCATTGGCAATCATGTACCATCTCCTTATTTTTACACAAGTATATATAGGTCAAAACTGCATCTATGCTGTTTATTTATTTTTTCTGTTGTTGAGTTGCATTTCATCTGTACTAAACAGGTATAAATTCTTGTAACAATATGTTTTATCTATGTGAAAATCATGTATTATTTATTCCTTTCAGAATTCTGTGAATAAATAAATGGGGAATGTGTCCATGGGACACAGATGATGCCCCCGCTTGCATATAACATTTTAAAGGGTAATAAATCAAGAATGGTAAAAGTGACACACAGTACCCAAATGAGTACTTGATCGGAGTTTTGTGGTACAATGTAATATGCATTGTGTATAAGTTGTTGAACATTTGATTAAGCAAACTTAACTTTATAGTGAACTAAAATGAATAAACAGCTGCACCATGAGTGCATGATATATGCCCATCACTTTTTCAAAGAATAAAGTTCAATAACTTCTTAATGTCATATCAGAAATTCATGAAAAACTAAAGGGAGGTTATCTTAATAGATACAACCAGTAACCAAAGTTTCATGATAACTGCTCAAAGCATTGTTAAAAAAAACAGGAAAATCCCCCCTTTTTATGAATACAATCACATAACTCCAAAACTTAAAACCTAAAATTGATAAAAATCAAAAGGGAGCTTAAGTCAATAGATATAAACAATTCACTAAAGTTTCATGAAAACTGCAGAAAGCATTTAGAGTCATTGTCCGAAAACTGGAAATTCACCCTTTTTTAATGAATAAAACTCCATAACTCGGAAACGTAAAATCTTGAATTTATAAAAATCGAAAGGGAGATCATGTCAATAGAAATAAACAAATCACCAAAGTTTCTTGCAAATGGGTGAATTTTTTTTTGAGTTATTGTCCGAAAACTGGAAATTCCCCCTTTTTTAATGAAAAAAAACCCAAAACTTGGAAACTCAAAGCCTAAAATTTATAAAAAACGAAAGGGAGCACACGTCAACAGATATAACTAATTCACCAAAGTTTCATGTAAATTGGTTCAAGCATTTTTGATTGTCAGACATGTTCACGACAGACGGATGGACGGACAACGATATACCATAATACGTCCCGTAAACTGGCGTGTAAAAACTTGGAAATTTTTCTATTTGTAAAGGAGCATAACTCTAGAACAGTAAAAGTGAGGCCACCAACATTCAAACTTGATCTTTGTTTTGTGGTAATAAGCATTGTGTATAAGTTTCATAATATTTGGTTCAGGCAAACTAAAGTTAGAGAACGGACACCAAAAAAATCAGCAATTTTTCCATTTGTAAAGAGGCATAACTCTAGATCTAAAATGGTAAAAGTGACGCTACCAAAATTCAAACTTGATTTGTGGTTTGTGGTAATAAGCAATGTATAAGTTTCATAACATTTGGTTGAGGCAAACTAAAGTTAGAGAACAGAAACCAATTAATGGGACGTACAGACTTACACTGGTAAATTATTAAGTCAGGGATTTCGTTACCATAAATTACTTAAAACTTTTACTAAATTCTTTCATAGATACAAAGATTTGATTAGTAAATTTGGCTGTACTTGAAGAAAACTTATAAAAAACGGTATTTCACATCCTAAATTTTACAGTAATATTGTACTAAAAGCACGGAAATCACTGTGTGATCCATGTAAACTCATCGAACCTAAATTAAACAAACTTATTAGTAAAGGTTATCTTACAAATGTTGTAATTTAAGATGTTTGATTATAGTTTACATTAGCACAAATAACAATTTTGTCATCAGCAAATTAAAACATAACTAAATTTGTATTTTTTTTAAGTGGGATGTATAAATACAAATCCACGTTAATTTTTTCTATATAGAGGTTAACATAACTATCCTACAGCCTGTCGATACTTTTATTTTTGGTATTGCACAAGTCATGTCTTCTTTGACTGTCCATGCATGATATTAAATACTAAATCCCTGGGATATGTTTTAGTTGATTTTAGTCTCTGATGCATGATTTTTTATTATTAATTGATTAATTTTGGCTTTTAACTAGCTTTCAGTATACGTAGCTGCGAGTACTCTCAAATCGTACTTTCATGTTGACCTGTTGATACAATCGCAATGTTTTTTGTTATTCAATGTTTCTCTATTTTTGATATATACCAGCTGCTTTGATAAGTGTTTAGTATGACTTTAAATTTTTACTTCTGTTTCTCGTACTATGAACAACAAAATTATTTATTTTGTAAAAAAATTTTCCATCTATACTGTGTCTTTCTATGTTGTGATGTTACACTATTGTTTCGGGTAAGGGTGAAGGTTGGTACCTATTAAAACGTTTAAACCCGCTGCATTTGTTTGCACCTGTCCTCAGTCCGGAACCTGATGATCAGTAGTTGTGGTTTGTTGATGTGGTTCATAAGTGTTTCTCGTTTCTCATTTTTTATATAGATTAGACCTTTGGTTTTCCCATTTGAATGGTTTTACACTAGTCATTTTTGGGGCCTTTTATAGCTAACTGTTTGGTGTGAGCCAAGGCTCCGTGTAGAAGACCGTACTTTGACCTATAATGGTTTTTTTTTACAAATTGTGATGGAGAGTTGTCTCATTGGCACTCATACCACATCTTCTTATATCAAATTACGTACAGACGTACAAGGGTAAAACTTAATGCCCCCTCCACTACGACGGGGCATAAAATCAAAGCACTGTAAGCGCTGTAGGCTGTTAACCAAAAACCAAGGCAAACGTAATTATAAAACTGTGGCAGTTTCGCTTCAATTTTTTTTTAAGATTTGAAAGAACAAACATTAAACATTCGTATATTGTACATTTATGTTCATTAAAAGAATTGATTATTTAGGCAAATTAATCAATATTTCATCAAGGTTTTCAAAAGCAACTCATATATCAATGTAAATGATCCCCATCTTCAACCCCAAGTGCATGATGTTACTCCATACCAAGTTTGGAATAAAATGACAGGTGATTATAAAACAGTTGGTCAAATATTCTCGGGCTTTACACTGCTTGAAAGACTTATATGTTTTCTTTAAAATGAGCCATAAATGAAATTTATTATAGGCCCAGAAATAATTTAATAAATAATTAAAGTAAATTCAATTAACCTAGACTCATTTTTTGCATCAATAAAATTTTATAATAAACAAGAAATAATTGTAACAGGATGCCGTTACGAAGTCTCCCAAACAAAGCCCCCATAATTCGTCATTCCTATGGTCTCCTGACATTTGGCAAAGTCCAGTCCATATTGGTTTGGTCTAGTAAAGTGATATGCATATGTGACACCTAGGAGATTGACCCTGTATGTCATTCAAATCTTTTTGAAATGATGAACAGGAATAAATATGGTTTAGGTGTAGGTATCTCGACCATTTACAAGTTCTCAAACAGGAGGGGTTGGGTGACCCCAGGGACTCCCCCTATATTTCATTTGATTTGTTATATTGTCCCATACATGAATACATATGGTTTAGGGGTGGGGATCTCGACCATTTCCAAGTTCTCAAAGAGGAGGGGTGGGTGACCCTAGGGACTCCCCAAATATTTCATTTGATTTGTTATATTGTCCCATACATGAATATATATGGTTTAGGGGTGGGGATCTTGACTGTTTACAAGTTCTCGAACAAGAGGGGGTGGGGTGTCCCCATGGACTCCCCCTATATTTCATTTGATTTGTTTTATTGTCCCATACATGAATATATATGGTTTAGGGGTGGGGATCTTGACTGTTTACAAGTTCTCAAACAGGAGGGGGTGGGTGTCCCCAGAGACTCCCCCTATATTTCATTTGATTTGTTTTATTGTCCCATACATGAACGTATATGGTTTAGGGGTGGGGATCTCAACCATTTCCAAGTTCTCAAACAGGAGAGGTTGGGTGACCCTAGTGACTCCCCATATATATTTCATTTGATTTGTTATATTGTCCCATACATGAATATATATGGTTTAGGGGTGGGGATCTCGACCATTTACAAGTTCTCAAACAGGAGGGGGTGGGGTGACCCCAGGGACTCCCCATATATTTCATTTGATTTGTTTTATTGTCCCATACATGAATATATATGGTTTAGGGGTGGGGATCTCAACCATTTCCAAGTTCTCAAACAGGAGGGGGTGGGACGACACCGGGAACTCCCCCAAATTATTTTCATTTGATTTCTTTTATTGTCCCATACAAGTATATATAATGTTTAGGGGTGGGGATCGCAACGGTTTACAAGATGAAAGTAGTTTTTCAAATTAAAGGGGGTTGGGATGACCCCCAGGGACTCACCCTATATTTTGGTTGATTTTTTTTATTGTCCTGTTCTCATTACTGAAGACTGCATGTGTCTATCACTTACTGTTTTCGAGAAATAGTCATTTGAAAATTTAAAAAAAATAAATCCCATAGGGTTCTATAGTAAACCCCTCCCTTCTTCAGGCCCCTCCAAATACCCCTAAATAGACCCCAATGCACAAACAAAAGATTAATGGCTCCGCTAGACATGTTAGTCTAATATTTTATGAAACCCTAAGTAAATCTGACAAACGGTCAAAGTTGTCTTCTTAGACGGTTTGAGTGGATTCGGTCCGACTTGTCTCGGGGACGAGTTGTCCACATTACTTAAAACATCCCATCAATGTCGATGTCCGCATCTGTTTCATGACCTCGTTTCATTCATAAAATAGCAACCACCTTATTTGGCAAGATAAGTTAAAAATTACCACCCATTAATTATATATCTTTATATATTTCCTCTATCATAGAGATTTGTTGTACATGAACAATATTCCTGTGCATTTTGCCATTTGCGAAATATAAACGACTTGTAATTACCAATTTTCGGCAATGAAATATTTCATACAATTGTTCTTTGACATCGTAGCCAAAAGCACAGGGGATAATAAACTACGTACGGATTTCTATTGAGCACTACTTCCTATGTGCAACTTCAAAAGTTTTGGGTAGTTCGACGATCATTTAAGGTTTTTCTGGTCATATTTTTTGTATTCCAGAAATAAAAGTATTAAAAAAATGTCCAATTAGTTATGAATAACATAATCTAGCCAGCTAGATAATAACAATGGCATGCATTTCAGCATTTATTTGGTAGAACACAAATCTAGGGTGCACGCATAAGGCAGCTTAACTGCCTAAAAATGCATATATATAAAGCAGCAGGACTCTTATTAAGACTGAATGTGACAGTACCTTATTCTGCATTCTTTCATCTTTAACCATTTATACTAGTTCTTCTGTGTATCTCCTGATTGTTGTCATGAATTTAGGTTCTTCATTTCTTTTACATCCAGGCAATTCTGGTAAGAAAGCACAATATTTTAAGCTAATTGTATCCATGGTTTGTCCTGGGTGTATTTTGATAAAAATGATAAATGTTGATTGCATCTTTTGGTGTCTCTCTTGTAAAACAATAATGCAAAGTCTCTGTGTGTTGTTTAAAATTACTAATCATAGGAATTAACCAGTAACATATATTGTATTATAATTTCACTTTTGAAACATCTGGAATAATCCTGACCAGTGACTGCACAGTTTCAGCATCCTTTGTTCTTAATTTTTCTGATATTAGCTGAAAGCAGGATCAATATCTCCATGTGTGTGGCCAACAAGTACGAACTACCAGAGAACCTGAAAAAAAATATCTGTTGAGTTCTTGACTAGTATCATTTATTTATCCATTAAAGAGGTAGAGCTTTGTTAGAATTTTGAAAAGTGGAAGCAGTATAAATACTTTTAATACACTAAAATATGTAATAAATAAAACAAGAATGTGTCAATGAAACACAGATGTCCCGGCCTGCTTGTAAATATATCTCAAATTTATCAATTTTTTTTATTAATAAAGTAACATAATATGAGAATGGTGAAAGAGACGACACCCAAACTTGATCAGTGTTTGGTGTTAATAAGCATTGTGTATAAGTTTCATAACACTTGGTTGAGGCAAAGTAAAGTTAGAGTGCAGTTTGGGTTTTGAACTAGTACCATCAGATTAGTATGTACTGTACTGCGATAAAAAAAAACATGAATCAATATCCATTGATATCAGGGAACTTGAAGTAATTGAAACCAAACCTACAGACTAATGACAGCCAGAAACAACTATCCGTCAGAGTTAAAATGAAGTGGATGTAGGCAATTATAGGCAATCGAACATTTCTTCAGAACCCTAAGTTTGTACATGTCCGGCCCTTTTATAGCCAACTATATATACGGTATTGGTTTTCAATTACTTCAAGTTCCCTGATATTGATTCATGTTTTTTTTATTGCAGTACAGTACATAGTGGTACTAATCTGATGGTTTATGAGAGCACAATTAATACAAAGACAACAACATGTTTATCAAAATATCATTTTCATTTTGTTACTTAATATTCTAAAACCACAGAAGAAAAATAAATTTCCATATCTTGCCCTGTTAATGAGTTTTGATGAAAATTAGTTTTAAAATTATTCATCAAATACACAGGATAAGAACATGTGGGTAGTGCTCTGTGGTTAAATAATTGACTCATTTTCATAGGTTTATGACCACTGACCAGCTGTAATAATAATGGCTATAGAAAAAAAGGTGTATAATTAAACAAGTGTTTAGAAATGAAGAAGATAATGAACTTCAAAGAAAAATACATTTTTATATTAGAGCTGCCATGAGAAAAAACATATAATAAATTTCATAGCAATACGGGAATTAAAATATTAATGTAAAAGCATAAATCAAATATATATAGTTTAAAGTACAACATTTAATATTGTTAATGTTAATAAAATTTCTATAATATAACAGATTTTCTTAAGTTTTCTAAAATATATGAATTTATGATCCCGCTAACATATTTAACCCTGCCACATTCTGTATGTATGTGCCTGTCCCATTTAGTCAGGAACCAGTAATTCAGTGGTTGTCGTTTGTTGTTCGTTCATTTTTTTTGTACATTAATTAGGCCTTTGTTTTCTCGTTTGAATTGATTTACATTTGTGATTTCGGGGCCTTTTATATCTGACTATGCGGTATGGGCTTTGCTCATTGTTGAAGGCTGTTCTGTGACCTATATATAGCTGTTAATTTCTGTGTCATTTGGTCTCTTGTGAAGAGTTGACTCATTGGCAATCATACCACATCCTCTTTTTTATATGTACACCTTACAATCATTCTATACATCAAATATAGTTGACCTATACTGCTTTAAGTATTTTAAAAACAGACAAAAACACAAAAACTGAACAATTGACCAATTAACCATGAAGGAGAGGTCAAAGTCAGATGATACCTACCAGACAGTCATATAAGCCTTACAACCATTCCATACACCAAATATAGTTAAGGTACTGCTTATAGTATTTGAAAAACTGACAAAGACACAAAACCTTAACATACAATACTGAACCATGAAAAAGAGGTCAAGGATGAAACCTACCAAACTGACATGCACCCCTTACAATCATTTCATACACCAATTATAATATCTGAAAAAGAGTGCACACGCTGAAATGTCTTGCCTTCTGTGTTAACCATTGATTTTGTGTTAACCATTGATTTTATGTTGATAGTCCTATAAACATAAAGCTTTACTACAAGTTTCATATGAACTTTACATGATCCAAGAAAATGAGGCCAAGATCAGATTAACCAATAATAAGAAATACATGTACACCTGACAATCATTTAATTCACCAAATATCGATAGTTGACCTATTGCTATAGTTTTTAAGAAACAGACTTATAACCAAGAAAACTAAGCATTGACCAATGAACCATGAAAATGAGGCCTAGGTCAGATGATACATGCAAGACAGGTGCAATCCTTCCGTACAACAAATATAGTTGACCTACTAAGTATTTTTTATAGTTTAAGAAAAACAGACCAAAACACAAAAACTTAACACTGAGCAATGAACCATGAAAAATGAGGTCAAAGTAAAATAAAACCTGCGAGACTGACATGTTGATCATAAAAAATTTCCATACATCAAATATAGTTGACCTATTGCATATAGTATTAGAAAAAATTTGTAAGGGTTCCGCGGAACCCAGTGTCTCGCCTACCTTTTCTGTTAATCGCAGGCTCAACAAAAATGAGGAAGTAAATCAATAAAAATATTCCTCTTGATACTATCTTTTGATTGTAAGAAGCTTCTGTCCAAGTTTGGTAAAAATGCAGGATAGTTTATGAATCAAATAAATGTTTAAAAACTTTAACTGGAAGAAAACAAAATTTCCTTCTAGATACTATAGCATTTGATCATAAACAAGCTTCTGTCCAAGTTTGGTACAAATCCAAAATAGTATAAGAAATTAATTAAGTTATTAAAATTTTAAAAACTTTAACCACAGAGTGAATATGTTGTTTCCTGGCAGAAAATCGAAGTCCATTTAAAAGTAAAATACGGAAAAAATGGATTTATTTTTTTACAAAATTTCCTTCTAGATACTAGCTTTTGATCATAAACAAGCTTCTGTCCAACTTTGGTACAAATCCAAAATAGTATAAGAAATTAATTAAGTTATTAAAATTTTAACAAGAGTGCACACGCTGAAATGTCTCGCCTACTAAACTGACCATTGATTTTATGTTGATAGTCCTACATATAAAGTTTTACTACAAGTATCACATTAACATTTATGATCCAAGAAAATGAGGTCAAGGTCAGATAAACCAAGCCAGAAATACATGTACACCTTTAATACAATCCCTCCATACACAGAATATAGATGACCTATTGCTTATAGTATAAAAGAAACAGACCTAGCAAACCATGGAAATTCTATATTGACCAATGAACCATGAAAATGAAGTCAAGGTCATTTGAACCCTGCCAGACAGACATGTACACATTAAAATCATTCCAAATATAGTTGACCTATTGCTTAAGGTATCTAAGAAAAAAAGTTAACCAGGAAAACTGAACATTGACCAAACAACCATGAAAATGAGGTGAAGGTCAGATGATACCTGCCAGACAGACATATACACCTTACAATCATTCCATACACCAAATATAGTTGACCTATTGCTTAAAGTGTAAGAAAAACAGACCAAAACACAAAAACTTAACATAAGCAATGAACCATGAAAATGAGGTCAAGGTCAAATAAAACCTGCCAGACTGACATGTACATCATTAAATATTTCCATACACCAAATATAGTTGACCTACTGCATACAGTATTAGGAAAACAGACCAAAACACAAAAACTTAACATTTATAGCAATGAACCTTGAAAATGAGGTCAAGGTCAAATAAAACATGCCAGACTGACATGTACATCGTAAAATATTTCCATACACCAAATAAAGTTGACCTACTGCATACAGTATTAGAAAAACAGACCAAAACACAAAAACTTAACATTGAGCAATGAACCGTGAAAATGAGGTCAAGGTCAAATAAAACTTGCCAGACTGACATGAAGATCGTAAAATATTTCCATACACCAAATACAGTTGACCTATTGCATACAGTATTAGAAAAACAGACCAAAACACAAAAACTAAACTATGACCACTGAACCATGAAAATGAGGTCAAGGTCAGATGACACCTGCCAGTTGGACATGTACACCTTACTATCATTACATACACCAAATATAGTAGACCTATTGATTATAGTATCTCAGATATGGACTTGACCACGAAAACTTAACCTTGTTCACTGATCCATGAAATGAGGTCGAGGTCAAGTGAAAACTGTCTGACGGGCATGAGGACCTTGCAAGGTACGCACATACCAAATATAGTTATCCTATTACTTATAATAAGAGAGAATTTAACATTCCAAAAAATCTGAACTTTTTTTTCAAGTAGTCACTGAACCATGAAAATGAGGTCAAGGACATTGGACATGTGACTGACGGAAACTTCGTAACATGAGGCATCTATATACAAAGTATGAAGCATCCAGGTCTTCCACCTTCTTAAATATAAAGCTTTTAAGAAGTTAGCTAACGCCGCTGCCGCCGCCGCCGTAGCTGCCGCCGCCGGATCACTATCCCTATGTCGAGCTTTCTGCGACAAAAGTCGCAGGCTCAACAAAAACTTTAACCACAGAGTGAATGTGTTGTTTCCTGGCAGAAAAACTAAGTCTATTTATAAGTAAAATACGGAAAAAATGGAATTTTATTTTTACATAATTTACTTCTGGGTGGTCCTAACCCAGGATAAAGGGGGGGTTCCAACTATATGTCCCCATTCAAATGCATTGATAGTAAAAAAAAAAGGTGGGGTTCCAGACCA